TGGGCAGCAAGGGAGTGCCTGGCACACCGTAAGCACTTGGTAAATGTTTGCTCTTATTTACACACAGGAATTGTATTTCGGGCTCAAGGAGCGCAGATTCTGAGTGGTGTGTAGGCGACGACCACATCTCACGCTCAAAGAATGCCTCGTACCACCAAATATAAATGGAACGTTCGCAGGCGCTCACACAGCTGCTCGAGCCGGGAACGCACAGGGGCCGGGCGCGGGCTGGTACCAGTCCTCCGCGGGCAGCGGCCCACGCCCCTCGGCAGAGCGCCGCGTTCCCACCAAACGCTCGGGCCAAAAGCTGTCCAGGGGACCGGGGGCGGGGCGGGGGGGGCATGGCGGGGGTGAGAGGGAGGCTTGGAGGAGGCTGGGTGCCCCGGGAAGGGAGACTCCGGCTGACTCAGTGTTCCCCTAGCCTCTGGCCTCCTCGGGATGTTAGTCAGAAAAAGGTCTTTCTAATCAGTCTGGGAATCCCTGGATTTTTGGGTGTCTATTTGTGATTAGCTGGCATTGGCTGAACATGTCACTGAGCACTAGGTGCTAGGGCAAGGGGTTAGCACATGGGCTGCAGTAACTCCCTAGGGTCCCCGGCTCCTAAAGTACTGCGCTGGGGCCTGAACCTTCTGTCATCATCTGTACTGTGGGCGCTGGGAATCCAAGAGGGACGCAGCACGTGGCCTAGCCCAAGGCCTGCAGGCAACCTCATGGAGCCTTCTATGGGCTGCAGAAAACCCTGACCTGGATGGAGGGCTCTTAGGGGTGGGGCAGCTCTGGAGGTCGTCAGCACAGGGCTCAGCAGGAAGGGAGGGCTGCCCACAGCGCGGCCCCACCTCGGAGTCAGAGGACTCCGTTCTGCACCTGGAAGGCCCTACCTGCCTAATGGGATGACTTCCAAGCTTGGAGGGAGCCTGGGAACCAGGGACAGTCAGCAGGAGGGCAAATGAGAAGCTAGGGGACCAGCCAGCCTCGACCAGGGGTCCTACACCCATCCACGGAGGGTCTGGAGTGGAGGGAGCGATTTCTGGCTAGAGGCAGAGAACAGGGAAAAGGAAGAAGATGCCAGCAGGGTTGTTCCAAGCCCTGGACCTCAGGTCCATCTGTGAACTGAGTCTGATTTCAGGGCGGGAGAGAAGGCGAAGGCCTGTCAGGAGAGCGCAGAAGCCCAGCACGGTCACCACCCGAGGGTCAAAGACTCGCCCGGTATGCGCTGTCAGCGCTCCCGGCAGCCAAGCCGAGCGTCCGCTCTCAGCAACCGGGTGGCAGGAGCACAGCTCCTGCTGGGCCCGCAGACGCACACTAGCCCGGGCGGCAAGCCTCGGCCTCTTCGTCTGCAGAGCAGCAGTGTCCTCCCAGGGGCAGCTGCGGGGCAGCTGAGGGGCGCCGGCTCCCGAGGCGAGGACGCAGATGGTCTGCAGAAAGCCGGGCACAAGGCCGGCGGGGCGTCGGTCTCCAAACCCAAGTTTAAGGAACGCTTCCCTGCTGACGCGACTCGCGTGGGGGAAACCAAGGCGCAGAGGTACGGCCAGCTCGCAGCCGCGTGGTGACGATGGCAGGGAGAGCCCCGGCCAGGGCCCTGAGCCCCACGCTGGGACCTCCACCTGAGCGTGCCTGCCCCCCGGGGACCCGCTGTGGGAAATCTCTGCTCCGGCTCGTGACTGCGCAGGCGGCAGCCTGGGAGCCAAAGGCGCCCGCCCCACCAGGCCCCGGATGCCCTTTGGAACGCTCTTTATCAGTCACATGGCACTCAAGAACGAATGCTGTCCCCACAGATCACCCTTCTCTGCTGATACAGGAGAACGTTTATCTTTAAAGTCACTCAGATTAGCACAACGGGGAAGTGCACCCTGAGACCCCCACGGAGGCCCCTTCTCTTTCCCGGAGTAATTCTCAGGGGTCTCTCGCAGAGCCTGCCCTATATCCTGACTGCTCTGGGCCTGCACGGCCCCTACGTTATCTTTCCAGACAATATTTCCTGCACACGTAAGGGACCATGGGGAAAAGGGGAAGAAGCCAGGAGGGGCCTGGCAGATAGGCTGGGAAATGGATGTAAACCTAATTAACAACTCTAATGCACAGGCAACCTCCAGAAGAACCCTCTGTTCCCAGGGAACGAGATCGGCAGGCCGCAGAAGCGCACGCTGCGTGCCCAGGACCCGTGTTTTCTGCTGGCCCTATCTCGCTGAGAGGGAAACACCTGCTCTCCATGCTGTCAGCAAAGGGAGCAGACGGGAGAGCTGGCCGGGGAGGCTGGAACGCACGGCCCTCCTCTGACTTCCTCTGCTGGACAGGGCAACACGGGACCTTTGCGAGGACTGGTGGGCGGGGCCTCCAAGCAGACGGCCACTCCTTCCCCACCTCCCTTGAAGACCACAGCCAACAGAGCGGAGAGGTACTGCGCGATGGTCTCTCTCCTGATAAACGCTGACACCAAACATACTGCAGAGCAAATCCCAACTTGGTAACTTTTAGTAAAATACTTTAAACTGAGAGACCTAGGGTCCCAGGGGGAAAGAAACTGTCTACTAAAATCAGTTTGATCTCGCTATTTCACAGAAGGAAGCCCTCCCCCAATCAGAGCAATGCCCTTATCTTTAAGCCCCACTCCTCCTTCCTGCCCACGATAGGGTGGGGGAGGCCTTGTGTCGCCCCAGGACAGAGAGGGGCCAGTCTCACACCTGGAGGGGGGCAGAGGCAACCAGGGGTGAGCCTGGTGTCTCTTGCGGGCCTCCTCCTCTGAGTATCTGCCACCTGCGTGGACAACCTGAAGGCCAGGACTGCCTCGCAGACCACATCCCCCACTGGCACAGCCGAAGTGCACCCCGGGTGCCAATCCACCGCCTGGACAGCCCAGGGAGGTGCCGCGGGGGTGCCCGTCCCAGAGAGAGCAGGTCTGGACATCACTGCCCACCTTTTTGCCAACCAGGAAAGGAGGCGGCGGCGGGGTGGAGCGGGGGACATCCCAGCAGACAGGGCCAGGCTACCCAAAGCAGCAAGACCTATACTCCCAACCCGTCAGCCCACTAGGCTCTCCAGACCCAGGCTGACGTGTCAAAGACATGCCTCCCAGCAGGGGACCCCACAGCACTGGTAGAAAACAGTGGTTACGGGGGTCACAAGGGCCCTACGCCCTTTCCCTCAAATGCCTTAACTCCCAGCTCTGAAGGCCACAGTGAGCACAGCCTGCTGAGATGGTAAGCCTCTCCTGGTGAGCTCTTGTCCCTATTCGAAGATGTGTACACATCAACTGACCCCAAGGCTGGGAGCATTGTGCACACCCCAGAGATGGCTTAGTTCTCTAGCCCACGGCCCCAGTCAGAAGCAGCCCCCCTGCCTACTCTTCCAGATCATTACGAAGATAACACCGCAGAGCCTCGAAGAAAGTCCCTCTAGGATAACTCAGGCCTGGAAGTAAACAGAGAATAAATCCCCCCTTGTGGGTCTTTTAAATGCTAACCAGACATTTTCTTAAAACCAGCTTGGAACAACAAGAGCAGTAAGGAAAAACAACCTCGCCTTTTTATTTTTAAAGTTGTTTTTTTTTTAAAGATTTTATTTATTTATTTGAGAGAGTGAGCGAGAGAGAGAGAGCGAGAGCACGAGCGGGGGGCGGTGGGTAACGGAGGGAGAAGCAGACTCCCCGCTGAGCAGGGAACCCAAGGCGGGACTCAATCCTGGGACCCCGGGATCATGACCTGAGCTAAAGGTAGACGCTTAACCGCAGGTGCCCCTCTTTTTTTATTTATTTAAGTAATCTCTGTACCCAACGTGGGACTCGAACCCACAACCCTGAGAGCAAGAGTTGCATGCCCCTCCAACTGAGCCAGCCAGGCGCCCCTAGCCCTTGCCTTTTTAGAAGGGGTCCCAAAGCTGCTCCCTTGAACTCCTAGGACTGTCTTTATCACTGGGGTGCGGAGCCTAAGAGCTTAAACGAGACAGAGAGAGAGCAGTTTCAGGGTGCTCTGATGCAAGCCCTTCCTGGCAGGGGCCCAGAGCCTGAGAAAAAAGAGAAGCAAGGTTTCTCGGCACCAAGAACGGGGTTCCCACCCCTTTAAGCCACAGCAGACATAAACATCTCCCAAATACCAGGTCGTTAGCTTCAAATGCAAAGCTGGCCAATGCTGGGCAGCCCAGAGGGAAAGGGGCACGGGAAAGACTTGCAAGTTAATGATACACAAACCCGGCCCCTTCTCAACCCCTGTCTGAGTGTGGTCCTACTTCATTTTCACATCTGCAGCTGCAGGCTCCCCTCCTGGCCTGCCCTCCCGCTCCTGCCAGGAAGCATTCAGGCCCCAAGGCTCCCCGCCCCTCCACAAAATGGAACAGCAGCAGAAATATAACCCAGTTCAGGCTCGTCCTGAACGAGATCTTCGGAGTCCAGACAGCAGTTGACACAACCGGGGGCCTGGTGCACCAACACTTGGCGCGAAAACCTTCCAGGCCCCGGGAAGGCTGCCGATTACCAACCCGAAGCAAGCTGAAACACCTTTCCAGGAGCCCCTAAACACTTAACAAATTTCTGCAGCTTCTCCTTCCAGCTGGCTTGTTCGGGTCCAGTGTTCCCTCACAGACCTGCTGGGCTTGCCAGGAATTTAGATGGCGTCGGGAGGCAAAGCTTTTACACACCAAGTAGGGTGAGGGCGCCCCAGGGGAACAGCAATGCTGGCCGAGGTACCCGGAGCCCAGACACGGAGTGACTTCCCGTGACCTCACAGCCAGCCCCAGGTGCCATCTCGCCCGCTTGCCCCGGGGGGTGGAAAGCACGAGAGCCACGCAAAATAGGCTGTGCTCCCCCCCGGACAGCTCTTAGTACCCTCGGCACAGGGAGCCAAGGGAGAGAGCAACTCCTGCCCCCCTGGGGCTCAGCGCGCTGGGCAGACACGGGCCAATGTAAGATGGGTTCTCACTTGGGCTGGGAGGGACCTCAGGGACAGCATGTGGTCCGCGTCACAGACCGCAGAGGGAAGGCGCCCTGGGCTGTGTCAGAGCCTGTTTACCTCTGCTGATGCGCTGTTTCTCTCCAGACAGGATCCCAGGAGTGTCGATGATGCTTATGCTGTCCAGGACCGGGTTGGGCAGCTGGGCACACATGAACCTGCACAGGAGCAAAAGCCGGAGGGGAGACGTCAAGACTCAGCCCTCGCAGCTCTAGAAGCGACAGGGGGCTTTCTGTGTACTCTCCTCTCCACCTCTGCCTTCCTTTCCCAAAGCAAGGCATTTACAGGAGGTTTTCTAGTGTTTCCAGGGGTGGCCCCTGAACTCTGTAGTGTCTTTTTTTTTTTAATATTATTTTATTTTATTTATTTGAGAGAGAGAGGAGCACGAGCAGGGGGGAGGAGCAGAGGAAGAGGGAGAAGCAGACTCCCTGCTGAGCTGGGAGCCCGAGGCAGGGCCTGATCCCAGGACCCTGGGATCATGACCTGAGCCAAAGGCAGACGCTTAACTGACTGAGCCACCCAGGCGCCCCCCTGAACTCCGTACTGTCTTAACTGGGAATCCAACCATGGGCTCAAACTGGCTTGCATCAGCATTTCCCTCACATTAGCTTTTCCCCCAGAGTTCAAGAGTTCAACTTTCAAGTTGCTGATATGCTAGTGAAAACTGCACGAGATAGGCCACCGATCAACTCCAGAAGGGAAACAGAAAGATGACACTGGGACTTAGCTAAATTTCCACACACTGAAGGTGGGGAGAGGCTTTCCTGCTGCTGCTGGGACCAGCCCATCCCTCCCACCCAGCTGCCTGGATGAAGGGACAGCAGGGGGCGGCCAGTACAAGCTGGGGGACACGTGGGTTGGTTGGCGGGGCTGGGAGTACAGACATCATTCTCCGAAAGCCGGAGCAGGCCGAGGAAGAACAAATGAAGCCACAGAGGGGCCGGCAACTCCCGAGCGAGGGCTTAGCCATGTGTGCCTGAGTTCCCACTGAGCGTGGAACAGCCCAGAACAGCAAGGGGCTGTCCCAACTGATAGCAGAAATTCTTTACTGGACACAGAAAAGGCTCCTTTAAAAACTTCTCTGAAAAAGACACTGTGAGCAAAGAAAATACTGACCCTCTGTCTGTAGGATGCAGGCTTAAAGCTGCCTTTCCAACTGTGGGGAGGGATCTGAGCTGTAAGGTTCTCCTTTTGGCCCTACCCACCCCCGCAGCTTCCCCCCAAGTGACCAGTGGCCAGGCCCGGGGCAGCTGGCCCGGGTGAGGGGTGTTGCCTGCAAGCACAACGGGGCAAAACCGGCTGACCCGCAGACCTTGGACCCGGTCCTCACTGTTGCCCTGACCGTCGTGCGCCAGACCTGGGGCTCCTGCTAGGGAAGGGTCACAGAGGGAAGACCAACTCAAAAGAACCTGAAGTACAGCTGGCTCTGAAAAATAACAGTACATAAAACCGCCCTGTAAAGGAGACCTGCGAGTAAGACAACATCGGTAAGACCCAGAAATGAGATGCCCCGCGGAGTCCTGGGAGCTTGGCGGGGGAGACAAGGAAGGGGGCAAGCCGCTTCATTTCCCACCACCAAGGGCGCACTGACTGCCTCTCGCCCCGCAAGCAGTTTTCACAGGCTGCTCTTAGGACAACCTGACTGTAGTCTGTCTTGGTCTGCTCCATTGGATTTTAGTCTTAGAGCAGCCACTTAAGAGTAAAAAGGGCAGAAAGTCAAGTTCATGGCTCAATGGGTCTCTTTAAGCTGCCCGGAGAGGCTGTGTCAGCCAGAGAAGAGCCCCCTTTGTACGCCCTGGCTAGCCGGCCGGCACTCTGCGCACTCCACAGGCTGACACAGCTCGGGGCCCTGCTCCAGGGCAAAGCCGTGCCCTCCCTGACCCTCGGCTGATAAGACCCTTTTTGGCTATTAGTGATCGAGAACCCTCTGGAGATGAAGTGGCAAGAGGGAAATAAGGGCTGCCTGGCTGGCTCAGTCAGTAGAGCGTGAGACTCTTGATCTCAGGGTCATGGGTTCAAGCCCCATGTTGGGTGTGGAGCCTACTTAAAAAAAAAGAAAAAATAATAAATAGAAGTGTGGGTCTTGAATCCTGTGGCACCAACATCATCAGAGTGTCTGTCTTGGACCCAGCATCCCTGACCTGCGCTTTTTTCCGGGCAGAACCCACAGTAGGTGGTAAATGGAGGCATCAAGGCAGTCAGCCAGCGAGCACTGCATTAAGCTGCCCTGGTGAGCTCAACAAAGAGCACAGCCCTCCAAGCTCGGGCTTCCTGAACCACCAAGATGACGTCTATGATCCCCTCCGACTCTGAAACTTTAGGTCTCCAAATTCAGAAACACGTTGAGTACCCTGTTTCTCCTTTCAAAAGCAGTCTGCTCTCACAGTTAGAAGCAGAGGCCCGAGGACAGAAGGTGTACCTATCCCTCCTTCTAGCTTCCCAAAGTTCTGTGTGAAAGGCAAGACCTAATAATGGTTGGAATTCCCAGCACAGCAGCCAAACTGCACACAGGATCCTCTGGGGCCCACCAGCTAAGAGTCTGGGCCAATCGCCCGTGTATGGGCACGATAATTCCGAGACACAGGTATTCTCTGGAGGAGGGCTCAAGGCGAAGAGGGTCATGCCTCGCACACGAAGGGCTTTATTCAGCTCCAGCCATGACACACCAACGCCATCAACCGTAAAACAGGAGGCCGGGCTTAAATGCCCAAAAGGGGCAAAAAACCATAACAGGAGTCTGCCTGTCTTCTCTGTTAAAAGTCAGCTCTGTGCACAGAGGTAGGCTGGCCACTGGCCTGGATCAGGAGCAAGCTGGTTCACCCTGTGTGGCTGGACAGTGTCGGGAAAGGAATGTGATCATACAGGGCGGAGACCTGGAAGGCAAGAGTCAAGGATTCTTTCCTAGGTCATCCTTGACACAGACTTTGAAAGGCATGTGAAGGGGCGCCTGGGCGGCTCAGGCATTAAGCGTCTGTCTTTGGCTCAGGTCATGATCCCAGGGTCCTGGGATCGAGCCCCAGCCCCGCATCGAGCCCCAGCCCCGCATCATACTCCCTGCTCAGCGAGAAGCCTGCTCCTCCCTCTCCCACTCCCCCTGCTTGTGTTCCCTCTCTCGCTGTGTCTCTCTCTGTCAAATAAATAAATAAAAAATCTTAAAAAAAAAAAAAAAAGGCATGTGGAGTCACTCCTTGCATGGGGGCTGGCTGGAAAGGCAGATCTGTGAAGTCCTTTGGTATGTCCCTGGGGGTAGGGGTGGGGACAGGGATTTTAGAACCACTGAAAAGCACCTTTGAGCTCCTTTAGAGAAGAGTGAACTTGACGCCATAGAAAGACCAATGTTTTTCATTCCCAGCATCATGAGGGTTAGAGTCTTGGAGCATGACCCCGATCACGAGGAGGCAGATTTCACCCATGTAACTGGGGAAACTGAGGCCCAAGCAGGTTAAGGAACCTCTTCGTGAGGGAGTCAGGGCCCAGATCTTCCAGGCCTCCCAGTGCTACAGACTGAGGCTATTTCCCGAAATCCCTAAGGAGTACAGACCCTTTCGAGCTGACCCCCGGGGAGAAATGTTCACACTCCGTCTGCTACCCCGACGGCTGCCCCCAAACTCAGCAGGCCACAGCAGATCCTCCTTGTCCCTCCCACACAAACCCAGCGGTCCCGGGGGAAGCACAGCACAGCAGCAAAGGGAATGACGAAAAGTTTCACATATTTTTCCATGACACTTAGGCAGCAGCCACTTGAAGGGAGGGGGGAAGGGGCTGGTTTGAATGAATTCGGTGCATCCAGTCTGGGACTACACTGGGATGAGGTGGAGACAGGAATCTCTCACCTTCCCAACGCTGACCCCGGTTCTGAGGGAAGTGGGGCTGGGATCTGCTGGAAGGTTTGGGAGTTAAACTGATAACCTGGAAAATTCTGGGGGTGACGGGGCGGGGGAGGGGGCGGCGATACCCACCCCCCAGACCTCCGGGTGGGCCGAAGCGGCAGGGGCCCTTGTCCCAGGGAGCGGTCGCCGAGGGGCTCGCTGGGGCCTCGGAGACAAAGGACGATGAGGGAGGCGGGGCCGGGCCGCCGCCACGGTAGGGTCGGGACCCGAGTGCGGCCCCGGGGGTCCCCCTCCGCCCCCCTCCTCCGGGCAAGGGGCGGGTACCTGTTGAGGAAGGCGTTGCCGAAGGCGTTGAGCTTGCGGAAGGGGCGCCGCGGGTCGACTACAAGCGCGTTGCCCGGCACCACGCCCTCGGTGGGGCCGTGCATGACCGCGATGAAAGAGTCGGTGGTGGGCTCGGGCCCGATGCGCATTCCTGGGAAGTCCTGCTCGATCAGGTGCCGGATGAAGGTGGTCTTGCCCGTGCTGTACTGGCCCACGAGGAGCACCATGGGCTTGTTGTCGAAGTCAGCGTCCTCCAGCGCGGGCGAGTGGAACTCGTGGAAGCGGTAGTGCTCCTCCAGGGGCAGCAGCTTCTGCGCGTACAGCTGCCGCAGCCCCTCGGCCACCGTCTGGAAGAGCTCCGGCTCCTTCTTGCGGCGGGCATCTTTGCTGACCCAGCTGAACATGCTGCCGCGGACGGGGCTGGCTGCTGCGGGGCAGAGCGGCGGCTAAGAGCAGGGCGAGGGCGCGGAGCCGAGGCGGGGCCCGGCCGGCCGGCGGAGGGGCAGCGGGGCAAGGGGGCGGGGAGCGGCCCGCACTGCGCAGGCGCACGGCACGGCCCGCGGGGCGCCCTCCGCGGAGTGGAGCGCGCGCCTAGCCGTGCGGCCTTTATAGGGCCGGGCCCCGCGTTCGGTCGCGCGCGTGCGCGTGCCGCCGCCGCCGCCGCGCCGGGCCGCGGGGAGAAGGGCAGGGGAGGAAGGAGCCCCACCCGCGAACTCCGCGCCACGTCCTCCCCTCCCCTGCCTCCCATTGGCCGATTCCAAATATCGCGAGCGCCGCTCGCCCTGCTCCCCGCCCCCGGCCCGGGTGCCGTGGCAACCGCACCTGTTTTCGCCCCTCCCTTGGCGCGGCAGCTAGCGCAAGTGCTGCGGTTGGGAAGGCGAAAAGCGAGGGTCGGGCGCGGAGAGGTCCCGGAGCCTACGTGCCTTCCAACATCCGCGAGACGCCCAGTTAGACACCCGGCTCCCCGGCCGCGCGCCCCACCCGCAGCTCCCCCACGAACGGTCCTCCCTCCCCCGCTGGCTCGGGATTCCCCGGAAGTATCGGCGGACCCCCGGGGCGGCGGGGGGGGGCCTCGCGCCTCCCGTCCGAGCTGCCCTTCCTTGCCGCCTCCTCGCCCCTGCTTTCCTGATACTACTTCCTACCCCTCTTCGTTATCTGCTTTGGGAGAGGGCGAGACAGAGTAGAGGAGGCTGAGGGAGTAGAACATCCGAGGCCGGCTGGTGACTGGGGAAAGAAGAATGGGGAGGGAGTGAGAGGTCCTTGGGGAAAATCTGACCAGCAGCAAGAGGCCTGAGCTCCCCGCAGGCCGGTGGGGCTGGGGATTGGAAGGGGGACACAGCAGTGGAGGACACATAGGACATAGGACATGTGGGGGAGAAGAGAGGGCCTCTGAAGAAGGCTGCATCTGTGGGTGGGAGGGGGTAGGGGTACACAGGAAGGCCTGGACGCTTGAGTTTTGAGGAAGTGAAATCGGAAATTCCCTATGTCTGGGGGAGGGGAAATGTGGGGCAACAATGAAATCTTGTGGGAACTTAGGGGAAATTAAAATACCCAAATACTTCTGCTTTCCTCTCAGGGTCACCACAAGTTACCCTCTTTTACTCTGACCTATGGGCCCCCCCTTACCAGTTCCTGGCTGTTCCATTACACTCATTCCCCCGCCATCATTCCTGGCCACACATCGGCCCCCTTGGCTGTCCAGGTTGGTGAGAATCTTCAGTGGGTGATGTCAGAGCTTTGGGGGACTGTGATTGTTAGGTAACCAGTGTCAGGACACCAAAGTGTAGGAGGAGGGGGTGGGGGTGTGGTGGCGCAGTGGTGGGGTGGGGGGAGACTCCTAGGTAGATCTAAAATGCACCATGTCCAACTTTCTGGCTTCTGGGAGATGTGGGATGGAGGCAGGAACTCTCAAACCTGAGAATGAGCCAAGTTCTTAGGGGAGCTGGGTCAAGTGGGAGCCAGAGAGGGCAAAAGGGGAGGTTTTGCTTGCCCGCCCCTTGTAGGATCAGGCCTCAGGGCCTTCTGAAGAAAGAAAATGTTCAATCAATTGCCTTCCCCTCCCCCCTTTGCCTCCCTAACCATTGGAGAGCCCTGTCTGCACTCTTAAGCCTCTGGCTTACTGCTTTTATTTGGGATTTCATTAGCATTCTTTTCATCAATACCAGTAAACCAGAAGCCACAAGCCTCTTTTCTTGGTGGACTCCTCAAAAGGCCATATTGAGAACTCCTGGGCAGGGCTGTCGCCAGAGGCTGGTGACGGGAGCCTTGGGTGGGCCCAGTCCAGACTTCCTGGGCCAGCCTTAGAAGCCAAAGGACTTGCCTCCTCCGTGGTGCTTTGAGGGGTCCACCCCGGAGATGCAGTTTCTGGGCTGTTCCAGGGAAGGGCTTGGGGCTGAGGCTCCTGAAAGAGGTGGTTGTTCAATGGCCTGAATGAGGCTTCAGGAAGCCCCCTCTCGGCAGAGTTCACATTGACCCGCCGTGGTCTTCACATCTCCCCAGAGTCCTCTGTGCTGGGAATAGCTAGCCCAATAAAACTGAAAACAACAAAATGTTCTGGGTTATTTATACATGAAACTCCAGCCCCTGTTTGTTCTATATGGCCGCTTGACTTTCTCCAAGGAGCGCAAAGGACTGAAAGAAGGCATCTCTCCCCCTCAATGAGGCTCAAGAGGGCAGAAATTAGTTTCCCCATTTCACAGAGTTGACACTCGGGTCTTGGGAAGCTTCCTGAGCTAGTAATTCCCAGACTGTGAAAATGTCCTAATTCTCTTTTTGTTGTTGGAGCTGGCGAGATTCTATTCAATGGGAGTTTTGTAAACCATGAGTGAAGCATTTCACTTTTGGTTTCTCTATTTCACTTTCTGTCTGTCTTTGCCCAGGGCCCTGACAAAAGACTAAGAAGAGTTCAAATATTTTCCTTTCTTGTGGAAATGAGGCCCCTCCCCCACTCCCAGGGTTTCCTTCTTTCAAATTCAGAAACACACCTGCGCAACCGGGCCTTGTTCTCTAGGTCTCCACGGAGACTGCTCTCAGCAGAAAAGACCTACCTGCTTTTCCTCGAGGGGATCTGCTCAGTCCCATAATGGCCTGGCCTACAAAAAGGTCTATGTACAAGGCCCCTAAAAACAAAAAGAGAGAGAGAAAAGAAAAACAGACTCTTGTCCAAATATGGCAGAAGAGTCAGGCTGGAAAAAACCAAAACCACATGGGTTTGTCCCTGGGATGAGGAGTGGTTCATTCTTCCTACTGAGAAAGTCTGTAGACCCAGCTTTTCTTCCAGTCAGAAGGAATAGATTTGGCCAACAGGCGAGTTTTGTCAAACCAAGGTAAAGAAAGGGGGAGGTCTGTTCCTGTGCAGTCTGGGGTCTCCAGCGCCGGCTGCAAGGGCATCCTCCGCACCCCGTGAAGCCTCTCTCCCTAAGGGGTACGGCAGTGCATGTGGCCATGGGGCTAGGGTCCTGGTGACAGTTGCTGCGTTCTAGGGGCCTCTGAAGGTGTCCCGCGGCAGGGATAGGCCCAGCTTGGAGGTGACAGGGTGTCAGGGCTGCTCGGGATCTCTGCTTTCAAATCACAAATGAGAAGAGCCCAAGGCCCAGGGATGGTGAGTGCCTTGCCTGGAGTCACTCAGGCTGAAGAAGAAGCTGGGCCTTTGGAATCTTAACATTGCCCTCTCCACGCTCAAGTCTTGAATTGGCAAGGTCAAGGTCAAGCCGGTGGCCACGCAGAGGGAGAGGGTTTCCAGAACCTCCTTTCCAGGTGCAGGCTGGGGTGAACTCTGCCGGTAAGCTCTGCAGCCTGGGGGCCCAGCCTGCATATGGACAGGGCTCTGTGTATACAGAACCCGGTAGTGCTTTGCAGAGCTGAGCCACAGAAGCCTCTGAGCACCTGTGGTAGACACTCCACCCACTGCTGGGCTTCCCAGCACCCCACCTTGCAGGGGCCGCCGAGGCAGGAACTGCAGCTGAGCACAGGATGCAGTGTTTATGCTAAACTCCCCAGGAGAGCTCAGGCACCACCCCGGGCTGCCCTCCAGGTCTTTGCTGTGGACACATCCGGTTGGGGGACTCCATGGGAGGTTGTTTATTATTTGGCACATGAGAATTCTGCCTTCTACAGTGATACTATCAGGGGTCCTTTGGCAGGGTCTTGGGGTCTCCTTACTCTATGCTGATAGAAATGGAGGGTACCGGAGGAGAAATGGCAGGAAGATGCTGAGGTCAGCAGGGGCCACGGAGGATGCGAGGAGGCCGTGGGCCGGTTAAGAGGCTGCCAGGGCTCATGGCAAAGTCAGAGACAAGACGAGATTTGGGAGGTTTGGTCTCAGCAGTCTGAAGGTGCACCTGAGGGGCTCAGATGTTGCTGCCTGAGCGACCACAGGTGTAGCCCTACCTGTGTGAGTGCAGGCCACTGCCCTCCTTGCGTCCCCTTCACGCATGCTTTTCTGCTCCAGCTCACCCTTCCTCACCATAGCCTCGAGCCCCTGTTTCCCCATGGCGGGGGTGGAGGGGGGGGCTACCCTGAGCCTCTGCATGGACCTCACAGGCTGGGGGCCGGGGAGCAATTCTGTGCCCAACAGGGTGTCACACGTGTCTACCAGGGCACAAGCCCAGCTCCCTTGGCCTCTGGCCCAGCCCCTCACACCCACACCTTCGTGGGGGTCAAAAATTGTGCCCAAGGCCACCCTTCAGGCACATCTGCTGACCTAGATCTCCCTCCTCCTTCCCCCACATCGGTCTCCATGAAAGTCCCACTGAGCTGGGTGGTCCATGAAGCTGCCCCAGGTGACCCTGCTCTGCCAAGAGTCAGTCTCTCACTTCCTTTTTGGCCCAGCTGGAACATTTCTCTGACCTGCGTCTTCTTCATCCTGCCCTAAGTACAGGCAATGAAAATGGGTCATCTGAAAAGGGACTGGGAGCTGGGGAGATGAGAGGACCCAGTCCTGCCCAAGCTCCATGCTTGCTCTCAGAAATAACGTGTTGGGACTTGTCCAAGGGCAGGGATGCAGCAAGACCCTTCCCAGAGCTGGCGTCGAACCTCCATTTCCTGCTCAGCTAGCCTGGCCTCTGGCCCCTTGGTTCCAAGACCTCGCCCTGAAACACCCCATCACCCTTTGCTAATCATGGTAGGCAGAATTCCAAGCTGTACCCGGGGTTTCCCACTCTGGTCTACACAGCTGGTGTAGGACCTGGGATTGTGACTAGGATGGGTTTACTCTGTGATAGGTCATGTTCAGTGGCACAGTTGACTTTACTTTGTTTATTTATTTATTCACTTAAAAGATTTTATTTATTCGAGAGAGAGAGAGCATGCGTGTGTGCACAAGAAGGGGGGAGGGGGAGAGGGAGAAGTAGGCTCCCCACTGAGTGGGAGCCCAACGCCAGCTCCATCCCAGGACCCTGAGATCATGACCCAAGCGGAAGGCAGACGCTCAACTGACTGAGCCACCCAGGTGCCCCCACAGTTGACTTTAGATACAAGATACTCCCAGTGGCCTGACCTAATCACAGGAGCTCTTGGAAAGCAGAGTTTTCTCCAGCTGGTGGCAGAGGAAGGAAGTCAGAGATTCAAAGCTCAAGAAGGATTCAATGTACCAGTGTTGGCTTGAAGATGGAGGGTGGCCACGTGGAAGGAATGTAGTGGCCTCTAGGAGCCCAGAGCTGACAACCAGCAAGGAAGCTGAGGTCTCTGGGACCAGCTGGAAGGAAAGCACCTACCTCTAGGGGTAAATGAGTTAATGTACAGAGTGTATAGAACAACGTCAGCTAACTTGAGTGATTACAGGAAATGTCTACAGGGCTATGCTTGCTTCATAGGAGCTGGGGCAATTCTTGTTGACTTTTCTATATTGCCCAAATTTGATATCATGGACATATTTGACTTCCTTAACTGAGGGGGAGGGAGGAAGCTGAGGGACGAAACAACTGGCCTGTACTCTTCAAAAATGTTGAGATCTTGGGGCGCCTGGGTGGCTCAGTCGTTAAGCGTCTGCCTTCGGCTCAGGTCGTGATCCCAGGGTCCTGGGATCGAGCCCCGCATCGGGCTCCCTGCTCGGCGGGAAGCCTGCTTCTCCCTCTCCTACTCCCCCTGCTTGTGTTTCCTCTCTCGCTGTGTCTCTGTCAAATAAATAAATAAAAATCTTAAAAAAAAAAAATGTTGAGATCTTGAAAAACAAAGCAAAACTGAGGACAGTTCCAGACTAAAAAAGGCTGAAGAGACCTGGCGACCACATGTGAGGTCTGATCTCCGTTTATTGGGACAGGTGGTGACATTTGAAAGGGGATGGCAGGGGCACCTGGGTAGCCCAGTGGGTTAAGCGTCCAACTCTTGATTTCTTCAGCTCAGGTCATGATCTCAGGGTCATGGGATGGAGCCCCAGGTCGGGCTCTACACTCGCCACAGAGTCGGCTTAGGATTCTCTCTCTCCCTCTCTCTCTGCCCCTCCCCCTGCTTTGCTCTCTCTCAAATAAAAAAATAAAATCTTAAAAAAAAACAACAAAAAGGGCACCTGGGTGGCTCAGTTGGTTAAGCAACTGCCTTCGGCTCAGGTCATGATCCTGGAGTCCCGGGATCGAGTCCCGCATCAGGCTCCCTGCTCAGCGGGGAGTCGGCTTCTCCCTCTGACCCTCCTCCCTCTCATGCTCTCTCTCTCTCATTCTCTCTCTCAAGTAAATAAAATCTTTAAGAACAAAACAAAACAGGGTGCCTGGGTGGCTCAGTTGGTTAAGCAACTGCCTTCGGCTCAGGTCATGATCCTGGAGTCCCTGGATCGAGTCCCGCATCGGGCTCCCTGCTCGGCAGGGAGTCTGCTTCTCCCTCTGACCCTTCCCCCTCTCATGTGCTCTCTCTCTCATTCTCTCTCTCTCAAATAAATAAATAAAATCTTTAAAAAACAAAAAAAAGAAAGTGGATGGCATGTTCGATCACATCACAGTATTGCTTCACTGTGGTCAGACCTAAATTTGGTAACTGTATCGTGGTTGTGTAAGAGATGTCATATTTTTTTGGGGGGGGGATACATGTTGAAATATTTAAGGGTGAGGAGTCATAACCCATGTAACCTTCTCTCAAATGGTTCAGAGGAAATTTGGGAAGTGTGAGAGAGAAAGAGAAAGCAAATGTTGCAAAATGTTACTACTATTGGTGAATCCAGGTGAAGGGTAGATGGGTGTTCATTATACTTTTCTTGCAACTTTTTTGTTTTGTCAAAAACAAAAACAGGCCTGTAACTAGGTGGCCCTATGGGCCCTGGGCCAGTGTTACATTTGCTGCCCCATGCCCGACCCAGCAGTGCCAAAGTCCATTTATAGTAAAATGGAGAAACCAACTGTTTTCTATTCATACAGTGGAATGCCGCACAGCCGTGAATGAAGTGAGCAAACTATGGCCCCAGCGACCTCCTGGGGACAGCCGGACCCAGCGGCAGGGTTCCACTTGGATAACACATACACACCACCACCAACAGACAGGCAAAATGAACATATATTGTTTTAGGCTGTGTACTCGGGTGGGGAACCGCAGGGAAGGGCAATGAAGTGATGATCATAAAGGGCAGCATTGTGCTTACCTGGGGAGGGGGTCACCTAGAAGGACACTTGGGGGGGAGGGGTCTGAAGCACAGATTTTCTTTTCTTTTTCTTTTAAGATTTATTTATTTATTTGAGAGAGAGAGAGCGAGCGTGGGGGGAGAGGCAGAGAGAATTTTAAGCAGACTCCCTGGTGAGCGAGGATCCCCCCGCCCCCACGCCTTGATCCCTGGACCCTGAGATTCTTTTTTTTTTTTTTTTAAAGATTTTATTTATTTATTTATTTGAGAGAGAGAATGAGATAGAGCATGAGAGGGGGGAGGGTCAGAGGGAGAAGCAGACTCCCCGCCGAGCAGGGAGCCCGATGCAGGACTCGATCCCGGGACTCCAGGATCACGACCTGAGCCGAAGGCAGTCGCTTAACCAACTGAGCCACCCAGGCGCCCCGACCCTGAGATTCTGACCTGAGCCGAAATCAAGAGTCTGAAGCTTAACCGACTGCGCCACCCAGGCGCCCCCAGAGATTTTCTTTTTTGAGTGGTATTTATACAGGGACTTACTTTATAATTATACAAACGTACACTATACATTTATGTTTTATACACAAATAGCAGCTGTAAAAGTCCCAGCAAGGAACCCCCCACTTTGTGCCAGGTGCGCCCTGACTGCCTGGGACCCACCACTGTGTTAAGGACACTGACCGACCCTTGTGAGGGCCTGGCGGGGGCCTGGCGCCCGCCTCACCCCTGGAAAGGGCTGGCGAGGAGGGCGGGGAGGACGAGCCCCACCCAGCTTGGGAGGGACGCGGCCCAGTGCACCCCCTGGTGGTGGCTTCAGGGAGTGAGGCTCGTAGAACAGCAAGTTCCCCACCGCCCCCAACCCCATGCCTCCTTCTTTCAGCGCCTTTTCCCCTGTTATTCCCTCCTCCTCCAGTGCTCACCACCTATTCCTGGGAGTCACCTCAGCAAAAGCTGGACTCGGACTCACCTCTCAGGGAGACTTCCCCAGCCAAAGCCGCTGTACTCTGACCTTTCCTTCCCCCATCGGCCTTTCTTTGCGGTCGGAACAGTGACTTTGCATATCCTCTCTGGACACCTGGTCAGCATCCTGTCGTTTCACAAATGTGCGGTGAAGCTGATGGCCGCCATTCACTGAGGGCCTCCCACCTGCCAGCGCTGGCTGACCGTCCAGCTTCGGACGCCCGCCTCCCCCCAGGCACCTGCATCCACGCATCGGGCAGTCCTGCAGCTTGCAGTTATGAAGATGCTACTCTGTGCCAGTCTGAGGCTACAGGAAACCAAAAGTCAGTGGCTGGTGCTGCCCGGGGTTCACAAGCTGGGCGGGAAATAGCTAGGCATTGGTGGTGGCTGTCATGGGGACTCTAAGAGAGCTCACAGAACATCCTGGGAGCCAGCGAATGGGACAGCGAGCAGCAGGCGTCCTGGAGGGCTCAGGAGGAAGTGGGAGCAGGATCCAGGTGAGGCAAGATGGGCACAGGGCCTGTCGGGAAATGGGCACAGGGCCTGTCGGGAAACGGCCACAGGTCAGTGAAGAGAGAGGAGCCAGTCCGAGGCAGCCGGATCTGCCTTGCTCAGGAGTTGGGACAGGACCTGCTGGAGCTCGCGGAGGCTCCGTGGAGGCTGATGGAGGTGGACACCCAAGGCAGGGGCGGCTGCCTGCCACCACCTTCCACCCTAAGTCAGTACTCTGGGCCTGCGGCCTGACAGCCCCAAGAGGGTCAGAATTCAGCTCCTTGCCATTTGGCCAGTGTATCTTTTTTTTTTTTTTTTTTTTAAATGGAACAGATTATAATTTACTTTTTTTAAGATTTTATTTATTTATTTGACAGAGAATGAGAGAGAGAGCACATGAGAGGGGGGAGGGTCAGAGGGAGAAGCAGACTCCCCGCCGAGCAGGGAGCCCGATGCGGGACTCGATCCAGGGACTCCAGGATCATGACCTGAGCCGAAGGCAGTCACTTAACCAACTGAGCCACCCAGGCGCCCAGGCCAGTGTATCTTGAACACCTACTATGCTGGGGTGGTTGGGGGAGACGGGGCAGGCAGGAGGACTGAATCATGGACTTTGCCCTCAAGGAGTCTCAGACCAGCACCAGGATAAGATAAGTGCACGGAGGGGCGCCTGGGTAGCTCAGTCAGTTAAGCGTCTGCCTTCGGCTCAGGTCATGATCCCGGGGTCCTGGAATCGAGTCCCACGTTGGGCTCCCTGCTCTGTGAGTCTGCTTCTCCCTCTGCCCCTCCCCCCACTCATTCTCTCAATCTCTCTCAAATAAATAAAATCTTAAAAAAAAAAAAAAAAGATGGGCGCCTGGGTGGCTCAGTTGGTTAAGCATCTGCCTTCGGCTCTGGTCATGATCCCGGAGTCCTGGGATCGAGTCCCGCATCGGGCTCCCTGCTCCACGGGGAGCCTGCTTCTCCCTCTGACCCTCTCCCCTCTCATGCTGTTTCTCTCTCTCTCTCAAATAAATAAATAAAATCTTGAAAAAAAAGTACACAGAGCTGTCAACCCTGCAGGAATAAGATGAGGGGGTGGTGGGAGAGGCCCACAGAGCCCAAGGTGCGGTGGGGGGGGGCAGCTCCTGCAGTCATGGGAGGGACCTCTGAGCAGGGCCTCAGTAGAGATGGGGGCCCAGCGAGCTGGAGCAGATAGGGCAGTGTGAGCAAAGCCACACTGGGAAAAGTGAAAGTGTCATAAGGGCCAGAGAGGGTGGCTGGATGCTTGTCAGCGGCATAGTCCGTGGAGAGAGAAGGTTTGACTACTCTGACTTTATTGTTATTACTATTATTTTAAAGATTCTATTTGTTTCACAGAGAGAGAGACAGCGAGAGAAGGAACACAAGCAGGGGGAGCGGGAGAGGGAGAAGCAGGCTTCCCGCTGAGCGGGGAGCCCGATGTGGGGCTCCATCCCAGGACCCTGGGACCATGACACGAGCCCAAGGCGGATACTTAACCAACTGAGCCACCCAGGCGCCCCTACTCTGTGACTTTAGCAAGATGTGCACCCTCTATGAGTCCGTGTCTTCATCTCCGGAACAGGCTCATGACGGTGGCTTTGCAAGGTCGTCGAGCTGACCCCAGGGGACTGACGCGAGCAAGTGCTCAGCACACAGAGAGGGCACAAGAACCAGCTCCTATTATTATGCAATTTGAACTTTATTCTTAGGTCTATGTTTCTCGTTTTGGAAAGTTTATCTTTTAGCAGCAGAAGCCTTTTTATTCAAATGAGAATGTCTCCAGAACTGCATCGTATCGAAGCCAAAGCCGGGCAGGAGTGAGGCCGTGTGGAAAGCTGGCTCAGGGGCTGGGTCTGCAGTCCTGCCCACTAGGGTGCCCAGCTGGTGGCGGGGCCGGGGGAGCCTGGGGGTGGGGAACCCCAGAGAGAGAGAGAGAGAGAGAGAGAGAGAGAGGAGGGAGGGGGCGAGTGGAGGGAGGCCGCTCTGGGTCCTTGTCCTGGGGAGAGTTCTGACACAGACTGGGGCCCAGGGCCCTTGGCCCCTCTTGACCACATGGGACATTGGTGGTGCTTCCTTGGGGTGCAAGACAAAGGCTTAGGATCTGTTCAGACATTTATCGAGCACGCACCTGGGCCTGGCCTGGGCTGGAAGCTGAGCTCCCAGGTGGTGGGGAAGATGGAAACACTGAGGGAGTTCAGTCCTCTGGGGAAGCACAGGGTGCTGGGGGCGCCCAGGTGGGCAGTTGGGATCAAGTGGGCTTCAGGAAGGCTTCCTGGAGGCAGCAAATGCTTGGGCAGAGCTGGGAACAGTTAATGAGGGTGAACCTGGTCAAAAAAAAAACAAAAGCTGGAAGTGTGTTCCAGGCAGAGGGAACAGCATGGATAAGGCACAGAGGCTTGCCACAAACAGTCCATATGTAGGTGGGGCCCTAAAAGCAGCGTGGGCTCACAGGAGGGGAAATGGAAAGGTAGGAATGAGACAGGAGGGAGTTGGGCCTGAGTGCTGCACTGGGGTAGCAAGTCTTCATCGCCCTCTGGGTCCCTGAAGCCCCATCCCTTCCCCCGCAGGTCCTGGCGGCCGGCATTGAGGCGAACATACCTGTGACCTATGGAATTGGCAGCCAGAGGGGAGAAGAGAGCACTGGCTGTCAATTCATAGGTCAGAGCCCTGTGCACTCGGTCTCAGCAGCCTGCTGACGGCCCACCGGCCTTGGCCATGCTGGGCCTGGGAGCGTGGCCATGGAGGTCCCTGCTGGTCTGCTCCTCCGTGGGTACTGGCCCCCATCCCCGATAACAGCAGCCCCACTGGAACCAGTGGACACTTCCACATGGAGTTGCTGTTACAGGGGGTGAAAACCGGCTGGAGGCCTGGGCCCTGCCTGCCTGGTAGCTGCCCTTGGGCAGAAGTCTGGGGAGGACCTCATGCCCACCCATCGGGTCCATGGTCTTTTTATCGAGGCTCCTTATCATCCGGGGCCCACACCTAGAGTCCCCGTGGCAGCCCCCCTTCTCTGGGCGAAGTCCAGGCTCAGCCCCAGCTCTGCTCATAAAGCCGGGAGTGGCTCCGATTTACAGCTCCTGGGCAGCCTTTGCCCACTCTGCCATCCCCATGCCCTCTGTCCCCAAGTTCCTTGTTTCCTCCTTTCTTTCCCAACCAGAACTGGGCCTCAGTTCCAGGTTGGGCCATGGTGGCCTCCACCCTCTGCCCTTTGCCCACCCTTCCTGCCACAGCCACAGGGCAGAGGGACAGTGAGGGACAGCTGGGCATCTGTCAGTCTCCAGGGCCCAGATTCCTGGGGATGGCCCCAGATGAGAAGCAGGAGGCAAGACTGAGAGGGGCGGGGGTGCAGGGGGGAGACAGAAAGTAGGAGAGTGAGGCAGAGAGGCCAAGAGAGAAACAGATGTGGAACAGGAGGGAACTGGAAAGGAACAGAGCAAATACGGACAGAGAAAGGCAAGGGGGGAGGCAGGGGGGAGAACAGGGAACTTGAGAAGATGCTGATACACAAACCTGCTGGCCTCATGCTAAGAACAGGGCTGTCAGCAACCACCATCTGGAAGAACACTTAGCACCTCAGTGGCCTGAGAGCCAGCAGGGGTCTGGGAGCTGGGTGACCTTGAGCATGTGGCTTAACCCCTCTGAGCGGTGACTGGTTCCTCACGTGCAAATCAGGGCCTGTGAGGCCTGTCCTGCCCTCTGGCCTTGACTGGTGGGAAGCCACCCTCCCTTCAAGCTTTGGTTCCATCCCCGCTGTGGGGAGTGGAAGGGGCTGCTGGCTGTGGTCCCTGAGGGGGCCCAGGACCCCCAGAGTAGCAGACTTTTCTCCTGCAAAGTGTGTTTGCACCCACCCTCCCATTCTCCAGACAGGATCTGGACCAAGAGGTTTCAGTGACAGGTTCCAATACCAATCCTACCCACCTAGGGGACATTTTGGAGAACCCAAAACTTCTGGAGGGGAGAGGGGACCTGGGACTCTGAGCCTTGAGAGTGGACTTGGGCAGTGGAAATGCCCGGAGAGGCAAAGGAGGCTGCCCAAGGTCACAAAGCAGGGCCTTGAGGTCTGTCCTGTCTGGCAACTTCTCTGAAGTGGCCTCCTTCCTCTTGGGATGCAGTCAAGGTGGTATGGGAGGTCCCTGGGCAGGAGTCCTTTCCCTGGGAGGACAGGCCTGTGAATGAAGACACCATAGCAGGTGACACCTCCCACCCACCAAAGCCCAGAAGGCCCTCCCGAAGATGCCCAGGCAAGGCCGAGCGCAAGGCTTGGCGGAGGCAGTGGTGGTGGCCGCCCAAGCAGGAGTCCCGGCCCTCTCATCTCACAGGTGGAAATGGGGGCCCAAGATTGGAAGGGACTTGCGTGGCTCACCCAGCGGCTGCCTAGGCCCTTTCCTTTCTTCCTCAGAAGGGCTGGGGCCCCTGCAGCAGGTGGCTGGGCTCAGGACAGCCCTGGGGCCCAAGGGCTGTGGGGGTCTGACTGCCCGGGCAGGCTCTTACCTGGGTGCCTGGCTGGCCCTCGGGGCACAAGGAGGAAGTAGGGGCGCCCTGGGCCCAGTGCCTTTTGAGCCGTTGGCCCAGCCCCTGGCGGTGGTTAATGATTATCCTGCTGCCTGTCAATAGGGATCACAAGTGTGGTTCGAAGGGCATGGAACCCTGGACTGTGCCCAGGCAGGGTGGGGCACTTCTAGGAAGCATCAGGCTGGGCCCCTGTCCGTCCCCTCCGGTGGCATCAGACCCCAGCCACCCACACCCTGTCTTCTTCCCCTCCCCCTCCGCTTGGCTGACTGCCCCAGGTGACCATGGGCAGCCAGGACCCCTGGGATCCACCTGGACAAAACTGCTCTGTTCATTTGGTGCCCAGACACAAAGGGAACAGCAAGGACACAGAAGGGACTGGGGGGGATCTTTGCTCACCCGAAAGGTCTGTAGATGACCCTAGCAAGTGAGGGTTCTCTAAGTCTGTGCCTCTTAACCTGAGCCTCAGTTTCCCCAGAGGCCCACTGCCCACCTGCCTCAGCGCAATGCTACTGGAGAGCAAGGCGGGTGGGGCATGATCAGATTAGCCCCTCTCGCTCTGAAGAAACAAGGTGTGTGTGTTGGGGGGGTTGTAATGGGCATTTTCCCTACCCCATGTCAGGAGCCCTGCTAGCCAGTGCTGCCCCCAGCACCCCTCCCCGTCTAGTGCCCTGGAGCTGGGACCCCAGAGCAGAGGCTCCGATCACCCGACAAGCCTTCTGCCAGGGATGGCAGGAGCAGCCTCCAGGGGGCGCAGCCCTCCAGGAATGGTCCCTGGGTAGGGATCACCAGGAGGGGCCCGAAGCTCAGAGACCAAGGGTGCAGCCTCAGACCACACGGTCAGGGTCTGAACCTTCTTGGGGCACCCCGCAGCCTGACCCTTTGCTCCGTCTCCGTGTCCTCCTAGCTGTCCCCTCACCCCTGGCCCTAGGTAAGGCTGGATCCTGGGCTCTTGCAGGGCTAGAGCCGAGAAACATGGTCGGGGTGAGGTGGGCTCCAGGCCCCTTGGGCCTCTTCGCTCAGCCCCTGCCGCACAGAAGTGGGGCTGGCAGCGGCGAGGGGCAGAGTGCGGACGTAGGGCAGCTGGGGGAGCTGCAGGGCCGGACAGCTAGCTGGGGGCCAGTTTTAACCTGCTGGGCAGGTGTGGTGACCCCTGGTAGGAACATGGGGGATGCTGGGTAGGGAGGTGGGGATCTGGGTGAGAGCCAAGGTCAAGGCTGAGGCTGGGGCAGCGCAGGTACACAGGATGAGGGGGCCGGCGGTGGGCACAGTTTATTGCACTTCATGCAGATACTGACCCACACGCTCCAAGGAGCTTAAAAATACATTGACCCCCACAGTGTCTGTCCCCCACCTCCCCCCAGACACAGAGAGACACTTGGCTGAGTGGGGTCGGGGTCTGAGGGTCCAAGAGCCTCCGTCCTGGGATGAGGCGGCAGTGTGGGCCCAGGTGGTGGTGGAGGCGGTGTCCTTTCTCCCCAGAGGAAAAGTGCAGAGACGGGGCTGAGGCCCCAGGCAGGGAGGCCTCGTTCTCACAGCGACTGGCAGGGGGTGCCAGGCAGGGTCCTTCAGGGTCCTTCCCAAGGGCCCGCCCGGCTGTGGGCTGAAAGCTCTGGGGAGGCGCAGGAGCCAAGACGCCACCGGGGCTGGCCGGGCGAGGTGGGGAGCAGCGCCCATGGGTCCCGGCGCCCGGTGCTCAGTCCTGGCCTTCGTCTGAACGCCACTTGAGAGCGTGGTCCTTGTGTGCGTCGGGGAGGATCTGGTTTCGCATCCCCCCGAGCAGACTGGACGTGGCCTCGGTGGCTAGAATGAGGGGCTTCACCACGGTTGGGGGCAGCTGGCGGATCACGCCCCCCACGGCACCCGTCAGCCCCTTCTGCTCGTGGCCCCGAGATGCCACATCACAGATGGTCTGAGCCGTGTCCAGGATGCCCTGTGGAAGTCGGAGGTCAGCGCAGGGGTTTGGGGGCGGGGGGGACGTGGGCGTGGGACTGGGAAGAGGGCAGGGTCTCATCACCTCTCGAACTGTGTCATAGGCCTTCGCCACACCTTCCCGGAGGTCAGCGGGCTGGTGGCCCTTTCGCAGCCTTCGCATGGAGCGCTTGTCCTGCAGGGAGCGGGGGATGGGCGCTGCTGGGGACAGGATGTCGTACACGGTCTCAGCTGTGGCCTGAGGGGACATGGAGGGCACCAGATGAGGAGAGCCAGCGCGGGCACACACACCCAGCCCCTAGGACCCCAAGCCAGCCCCAGAGGACCGTGCTGGAAGCCCTGGCCAGCCCGGGGGCTGGGGGGGCATCACGCCTCTGCCTCCCCCACAGCCGTGCTTTACGGGGCTGCTCCTGCATCCTGCCGATGCTTCCAGCGCCCAGGTCGGGGGGCTTCAGGTGGAGGGCATTCTCCTCATGTCCACTGGACCCCAAACCCTCCTCGGGTGGACCACCACATGTGGACCCTTGCCCCATTTGTGAGGTGCCGCCCGTGCAGCTTTCGAGACCGAGTGCACCGTCTCCCCTCCCCTGCCCCTCGTCTGGCCCTGCCAGCTCTGGGGGAAGCCCGGGCGGAGTGCTGGGGTCCCTTAGCTCACCCCACCAACTCTCATCTGCCTTCTTACGCTGGCTGCTCTGTTCCTTTTGCCCCTCACTTCTCACCCTGCCTCCTCACCTAGCTGTGCCTTTGGGGGGCTCTCTGGGGCCTGCTTATCCTTCCAGCCTCCTTGCTAGAGATCTTGCCTGCGGCCTGCAAGGGGCTGGGCGTGTAGATCCCAGAAAGCCCTGAGCTCCCCCTTGCATCTGCATGCTCACCGCCCCACAGAGGCCTGCCCATCCTCGCCCTTCCACTAGCATTCACGGCACTGAACTAGAGCTGCTCGCAGGACAACTCCCGGGCCTCCCTGGGGATCTGTCTGGGCCTAGCCGAGTGCGGGGCCTGAATGAGTGAGGGCCAGTCTGCGCCGCGGTTTTCCTGTCTGTAAACAGAGCCACACCCCCTTCCCTCCTCGTCAAGAGCTGGCCAGGAGCAGACACCCAGTGGGCTAAAAGCATGCAGGGCACCCACCCCCCGAGGAGTTGCTGTGGGCCCCAGGCCGGTCAGTGAGCCTCTCCTGTCCATGATTGTGTCTCATAAAATGAGACCGCTCATCCAGACTGTCCATCCTTAGTAGCGCTTTGGGGACAGATCAGGCACCATGGAGCAGACTCTCCCTGCCCTACTTGGCCTGGAAGCAGGTGCCCACTCACCTGGATAGCCTGCACCAGCCGGTTGCTGAGTTCCAGGGCGGCCGAGGCCGTGGATGAGCCAAAGGAGGCGGCCCCCCGCTGCAGCCCCCGCATGAGGCGCCCGTCCTTTCTGTACTGCTCGATGGGCAGCCAAAGCAGGTCCCGGAACCCTTGAACTGCAGGGACCGGGCTGTCAGAGATGCCCGAGGCTGTGCGGCCCGCACCGACCCTGACTTAGGACCTCCTCCCCCTACTCCTGGGGGCAGCTTCTAGGCTGCCCAAGAGTCAGAGCCGTTTCTAGAGCCCCCACAGCCAGCCACTCACAGAGCTGGACAACAGAGTGCATGGGGCCTACACCCCCCAGCAGGCCAGGCAGCTGGTTCTTGCGGATATCCTGTAGCCACTCGTTGAGAGCGTAGCCCAGCACCTTGTCCACACCCAGGAGTCTGGGAAGGGGAGAGGAGAGGAGGGTACAGGGGCAGAGCCACACACTGAGGGGTCCTGGGGCCAGGACCCGAGTGAGGTACCCCTATGCTCTCCAGCCCAGTGCAAAGGATGACTGTGCCCACTTCACAGAGTGGAAACTGAGGCACCAGAGGAGGACTTGGCCAAGGCCACACAACCAGTCAGGATATAGCCAAGGGAAGACAGGAGACTGGGGGTGCTGGAGGGGATGGGGAGCTCACCCATGTCGGCAACAAAGCCGCTTCAGCTTCAGCTCGGAGCAGTTGAGCTGGGCTAGGCCGATGAGGAGGCCAGCGAAAGTACCCTGTGGAAGGAGGGATTTGGGTTCACACGATTCAGCTCCTCGGAGCCCCTGGAGGCCGGCTCAGCAGCCACTGCTGCTGGATCAAGCCCCGGCCCCCAGAAGACGAAGCCACGCCCGGGCAGAATGGGGAGCCCCGAGAAGGATGGCCCACGCAGCCACTCCGCGGGACAGCCCCACTCACCACCTGGTCCATGGTGACGTGCTTGCCGTGGTAATCCAACCAGATAGGCACCTCGGACGTGAAGCGGAACTCCCTGGATGGGAAACAGGGAGAGGGGGCCTTTGGTGCCTGACCCCGCCCCCTGCAGCCTGGGCGAGGACTCCCAGCCTTCAGCCCTACCTGAAGTAGATAGGCTGCTGCTCAGCAGAGGAGCTGTGTCCACCGCCCGTGGCCTCCTGGGAGCCGGTCATCTCTGCGTCCTCAGGCCGGCCCTCCTGGAGGCTGCTGGGCTGGACTCGGGTCTCAGGGCGAGCTAGGGTGGGGGACACCGATGGGGGATGGGCCCAGGGATGGCTGGGAGGCGGGAGGCGGGAGGCCCGGGCCCTCCCCTCCCAGCTCAGCCTCTCACCCTCAGCGGACGTCTCTGCCGAGACCATAGGATTGATGCTAGCCACCAAGCTGGTGAAGAAGTCCTTGAGGAAGAGCAGGGCGTCCTGCCGGGGAAGGTGCAGGTCAGAGAGGCCCAGGGGCAGTGGGGCTCACCGCGCGCTCTGCCCCCGTCTGGCCTACTCACCTGGTCCACGTTGAGCCGCAGGGGCATCAGCGAGACCCGGAGACAGCACTCGGGCCCCCCCAGGTTGGTTGTGGGGGCCACGTGCAGTGCTTTGATGGTGAGCTGGGGGCAGAGGGCAAGCTCTGGGAACCCGCCGGGCCTCAGGCCCCTGCCCCCACCCCGTACCCCGCCCCCCCCGGTGCCACATCTGCACATGCTGGTCCCTCAGCTGGGCCTGCCTGAGCCCCAGCATTCTCCCAGGCTCCCAACCCCCTGCTGTGTGGGCACACAAGGCCCTGCCCGCGGCGGCAAGCGGGGGCGGCCCGTACCATGTTGGAGTGGGCTCGACGTGGCATCCGCTCGCTCGTGTGCAGGTACAGGAACTTGTTGATCTGGGAGGAGGCCAGCCGGTCCCGGACCTCCAGCTCCTGCACAATGAACACCTGGCGGGACAGGGGCCGCTCCTCGAGCTCCTGGCCGGGGGCCGCAGGGCCTGTGGCTGGCTCCACCGGGTACACCTCGTGCTGGAAGCTTACCTGCGGGGCGGACAGACGCCTGAGCCGGGGAGGCAGGACCCCGCCTCTCCCAGCCCCCCTTCTGCCCCAGCCCCTCCCCAGGCCCCCACCTGGCTGCCTCCCCACAGTTGTCCCATAGTCAGTTCAAACTCCACTTGGCATGCTGAACTCTTAACCTGAATGTCTGCCCTGAATCTCCTTGCTCCGTTCCCTTCCTGTCACCTTAGAGGCCCCCGTGTGCCTGTCACCCAGCGCCAGCACCGCCCTTCTCCACACACCCAGAGGGACCTTCACAGAGCACACGCCCACCCACCTTGCGCCCTGCAAACACCCCCTCGGGGCCTGGAGGGGCCCGGCCTCTCCCTCCACCTTGCTCCTGACCGCCAGCCCCAATGGCCTCTCTCCTGCCCCTCGAACAGCTCGAGGCCCTTCTCTTCTTCGGAACTTTGCCCTGGTCTTCCCTCTCCCTGCCCCAGGGCTGGCTCCCCAGCCCCACTGGCTGCAGAGAGCCCGAGTTTGCTGGGCACGACAGCCCCGTGCACCGGGGCAGAGGGCCCGCACGGCCTTGCCCTCAGGAAGCAGCACCTCTGCCCGCACCGCCTCGTGTTGCCCGGCCTCCCAACCTGGGGTTCCTCCCCATCCAAATTTCTCCAGGATCGGACCGCTGTCACCGGCTCTGCGGCTGCCACCACCCTGTGCGGCCACCGTCTCCCACTGACCGCATCTCACTCTATTAAAAGCCAGAACCGTCCTGTGGTCTGCGGGGCGGTCGGCAACCTGGTTCCCAGTCAGACCCACGGCCCCCACGGCCCCCACGGCGCCCCTCCCCGCCCGGCTGCGGTCCTGCTGGCCACGTGGCTCCAGCACGGCAGGGATGCTCCCGGCCCGGCCTTCGTGCTGTGCCCTCTGCCCGAACCCTCTTCCCGCCCCCTTCCACGGCTCTCAAGAAGACTGTGCTGATCCTCCCCGGTGCTCCCTGTGCCCCCTCCCTGGTTCACCTTCCCCAAACACTGACCCCAGTCCACACCACACAGATCTGGGGCTCCCTCCCCTACCACACACGTTCCGGGCAAGCAGGGCTCTGTCTGCTGTGCTCGCTGCTCCCTCCATCGTCTAGAACAGCACCGGGGGTGCGGTGTGGCCGCCGCTCTGCAAGCGCTCAGGGACCTGGTGCCTGACCAGGGACCCGGAGCCAAGTGGCCGCGGTGGCATGCTGGCTGGGTGCCAGCGATGGGAGGGCCTGCCCTGTCCCCCTCCCAGGTGGCTTTCCGGACTCTGAGCCCCCAGCTCACCTTGCTGAGCTGGATCTCCATGAGGACGTGGTGCTGCCTCCCAGTGCCCCCCTGTGTACGCCAAGAGTTCTGGGGCCGGTTGGGGCCGGAGCAGCGGGAAGGAGAGCCCCTGGGGCCCATGAAGCTGCCTCTTGCCCTGGAAAGAGGGACAGGGGACAAGCTGACTTGGGGGAACCCCCTTCCCGTCAGAGCAGGCCCTTCAGCCTGGGGCAGCCTCAGCCCTGGGGAGGGGTGGGTAAGGAAGGAGGAAGAACGGAGGCCACTGAGGCAAGGACACTGCTCAAGGTTATCGGCGGCTGAAGGTCAGAGCTGGCCCCCAGCTCGGGCCCCATCTCCCCAGCTGGGCGGGCCCCACGCCATTGCTGCCACCTGCACTTGTCCTTCTCACCTGTGGCCAGGCTGGGGGCCAAAGTCCCGGCCCCCATAGAGGTGCCAGACGAGCGAGACTTCACGGAGCACCACACGGCTGCTAGGCACGGGGAAGTGGGCAGGCGCCCGCAGCAGGTCCGTGCTGCCCAAGGGCCGTGAGAAGTACCCGTCCTGCACGACGATGGGGCCTGGATGCAGCTGTGTCACCACGGGCTCCCCATCTCGGGGCTGCAAGGAGGGGCCCGAGTGAACACAGGTGCCGATACCTTCCCCAGTCCAGGCCACCCTCTCCCAACTTCCTCCCCATCCTCATACCTCCCCCCCATTTTGGACAAAGGAGGACCGTCCTGGGCCACCATCCCCAGAAGCTGTGTCAGGGTGCTCTGTCCAGGGGGGATCTAAGTGCCCCGTGCTCTTGCCAACCCTGTCTCCCTGGGCCTGGGTCTCACTTGCATGTGACATTCCCATTGGCTCCTGGGGGCCAGCCGGTCAGCACCCCGGCAATCAAATGGTTCTCCTCCCTCTCCTGCTAACCACCCTGCTCCTCTCTTTCCCTCCCCTTGATGTCCTGTCCCTCTGTCCTGGATGCCATTCTTTCTTCCTCTGGAAATCCACTTGCTCCTTCAAGGCCCAGAGTCAGGGAGACTGCCGTGGACCCAGACCCACCTCCTCAGTGACAGAGACCACCTCCTACCCCTCTACCAGCAGGAGCTCTAGAAAGGTGCAGAAGGGAGCCAGCCTCTCCTACCACTTTCTGGCCCTGCCCAGCCTGCCCCCCACACACCGGGATGCCCAGGCCAGGAGCATCAAGGATGCAGAACTCGTCACTGTCCAGAGTGTCTCCATCTCCCTCTTCCTTTTCATCTTCCTGGGCCTCTGAGCAGGACCCTAGGCTGCCAGCGGGGGCCACAACAGGGGGCGAGTGGGGCTGGCCCCCACTCCGTTCACCTGGGAATAGGTAGACTGACACAGGCGAGGTCTGAGGGAGGGGGCCACCTGTGGAGACAGACACCAGTTTTGGGGGCGATGCCTGATTTGGGTGCCTGATTGTGTCCCCTGGCCCCCAAGCACCTCTGCCCCCCACCTGAAGGCTGGGTCAGCTCCCGCAAGCTGCGCTCAGTGTCCAAGAGGGCGTCGGCCAGGTCCCGCTGGTTGATGAGGGCCGTCTCCACCGGAGGGCAGGAGGGCAGGGAGGCAGGGCTCTCAGACAGCTGGGCCGGGCAGGGGAGGAGTCATGAATGAGTGACGGGAAGGAGGGGCGCCCCTCCTCCGAAGCCAGGCCCCCGGGGGCTGCGGCAGGGGTCCCAGTGGCCTGTAGGGCCAGGCCTCACCTGTACCTTCTGGCCGGCGATCTCCGTGGGGCTGGGGGCCCGGGGAGGGGGGTGGAGGTCGCCCGCACTCATTACGTACTGGAGCAGGTTGACCAGCAGGGCGCAGGAGTCTGCACAGCTGTGCACGTGCACCACGTTGTTGGAGCAACGCAGTTCGAACAGCGGCTGGCTCTGGGGGGGCCGCGAGGGATGGGGAATGGGGCACCATCAGCCCAGGCTTCATCCCCGCCACACACGGATAGGACCCGGCCAGGTCTTCCGGGGCGGGGCGGGTCAGTCTGCTGCCCAACAGCCCCACTGAATGAAGGAGCAAACGGAGCCCCGGGAGTGGAATCACCCAAGGAAGGAAGAGTGCATTCCTCGCATGAAAGTGTTCCAGTGCCCAGTCCTTTATCGCTCACCTCAGCCTGGCCACGTGGGGCCTGTTACCTCCATTTTACTGAGGAGGAAGCAGGCCCCACAAAGGCCGGCTGACTCCCAAGGCCCTGCTTTTGCCCTGGCTGCAGCTGCCCCCTGGTGGTGGGGTTCATATTATGGGATGCCCAGGCTAGGCCTGGCCCTTGCCAGGGGGGCCACGAACCAGAGCCCGGCATGGAAGGGCAGGCAGTGACCGGAACCTGAGCCCAGACCCAGGGAGCAGAGGGAGGAGAGAGCGCAACGGCAAAGGGTGATCCCCCGAAGGCTCCCTCGGCCCTTGCACCTGCTCTGGCTCCGGGGGACTCTGCACAACACTCACCAGTTTGCCCTCGGTGCTCCCCTTCCAGGTTTTAATCACAAGCTCTAGAAGGTCAACATCCAAGACACAGACATAATCTGAAGCAGAGAACAAGAGAAGTTCCAGTTGCTTCTTCACGCCCAGCCCCTGGCCCATCACCAGAGCAGAGAACCTGGCGTTTCTCTAAGTGCAGCCCTTGTGCGCGTGCATGCGTGTGTGGGTGCTAAGAGCCCAGCCAGCAGCTGGGTGAGGACTTCTGGCTGCTCTGGGTGTGGCCGGGGGTTGTGGGCTCTCAGAGGGGAGGGAGCCCAGTCCAGGCCCTGCCCACCTCGCTGCAGATCCGGCGTCTCCACCTCACACTTGTCGGACAGGTATAAGGCTGAGTCGTCCAGGATGAACCTGGTGGGGAACAGGGCTGAGAAGGGCCCAGGAGCCTCTGCAGGCTGCAGCTCCATGGGAGCCACGGGGGTGGGGCCCCTAGAGACAGGCAGAGGGGCAGCCGCAGGGGGTCCCAAACCCACAAGAAACTAGCGCTGGGTCCTCGCTGGCCTCGGTGTTCTTGTCTGTACACTGGGGAGACTGGGCCGGTCTCCTGCGCCGCAGGCCCAAAATAGCGCATGCCTGCTTAGGTCACAGGGCAGGTAGCGCTCTCCCAAGTATTTCCTGCTCCTCCTCATCCAGGCCTCGCAGCGGCCGCAGGAGGGAAGTGTCCTGTTCCCCCCACCCACCCACAGCATTCACTGTTCTTTCAAAGTCAGTCCTTATTTTAATGGCAACATAACACAAGCTCCTTTAAGATATTTTAAAACACAGGAATAAGAAATAATCTCTAACCATATTCCCTTAATCCCAAATTCTGAGAAAAGCGCCCTATGTATTCTCTTCATCTTTTCTGTGAAGCCACAGACATGTATACAAAAAACCTTCATAAATCTTAAAAAACACCACCACCATGTAGAGCTTTCTATCTTGGGTTTTCAGCACATATTGCATTACGGCATCTCTCGTGTTTTTCAATGTTATTCTTCAACTTGACCTTAATGGTCGGGTCAGCCATGTTTACTGACTCAAGTTGTCATCTGGGGGCATTTAGATTGTTTGTAAGTTTTAAATTCTACAAAGGCATCACATTCCACCTCTGTTATCCTTACATCCTTAGAACAAGCACGTCAGTGAGCCTATCAGGTTAGAGAGCACAAATGTTTTTAAGGCTCTGCTGAGGAGGTGCCAACTGCTGTCCGGGGAGGTGGAACCAATTCTCATTCCTGAGGGAGGGATCATCGCCCAAATGTACAGAAAGGCTCAGAGACTGAGGACACAAATCAGATAGGCAGGACCCTGGGGAGTGGCAGTTGCAGCCTAGTTTGGGGGCGGCGGGGGGATGGAAAGTGAGCTGGGTGGGGGTGGCGCATACCTGAGCAGGAAGGTGGAGGTGTCCATGATGATGTTGCTGGAGAGGGTGAAGGTCTCAGCGGTGATAAGGACACGCACAGGGAGGTAGAGGGGCCTGGGGGGGGGGTGTCACACATGCACTAGGGCGGGCTCCTTACACACAGAGAGCCTGCCCCCGGCCCCTGGCTCTTGGCCCACCCAGGCTGGGTACCTGTAGTCCACAGCGCAGGAGAACAGGTGAGTGTGTAGGACAGTAATGACGGTTGGGGGCAGGTAGCCCAGCACTGGGTCATCAAGCACATCTAAGAACTCCAACAGCTTTGGGGGCCGGGACAGGAGGGGTACCGAGGATCAGGGGCCTCTTCCTTCCTCTAATCCCCTCCCCGCGCCCCAGCATGGCTCCCCACCTGCTGCCCATCAGCTGCTACCATACCCCTTGCCCAGGGGCTTTGCTTGGAAGTCAGCTCTGGCCCAGCCCAGGCCCCTCACACTGGCCTCCCCCCAAGCGCAGAGACCTGCCTGCCCACACCACTTTCGCTCACCTGGGAGTGCCAACTCTGTTCTGGTAAAGCCATGAAGTGGCGCAGGGTGGCCTTGTGGAGCCTCAGTGTCACCAGGAACTCCTGGAGGTGGGGCACAGTCAGCACGGGGGGAGGGGGACTAGCCCACCAGGCACCAGGGAGGCAGTTGCCCCAGCCAAGTGGGTAGACCAGACTCAGGCACTGTTGTACCTTGACATTTTTGTGGGGGTCCAGATGGATGCGCACAGCCGTGGACAGCATGTGGGGACCCCGGCCCTGGCCCTTGGGGCCCGAGGCTCCCCGTTCGGTCACCCCTTCCTCCGATGGGTAGATGGTTGGGGCCAGCTGGGCCGGAGGAACAAAGCTGGGCAGCTCCAGGCGACTGGGCAGCAGGTGGTCTTCCACAACCGCTGGGGAGGCAGCTGGTGAGCCCCTTGCCAAGCTGGCTGTCCGTCCCCTCCACCCAGAGCCCACGTCCCTCCAGCAAGTCCCCTCCTTTCACACCTCGGTGGTAGAGCTTGGCCTTCTCGGCTTCTAGGCAGAAATAGCCGAGTCCCGGCTGGCCTCGGTACTGGGAGACGCTGAAGATGGTGCCTTGCTCCACATCCAACACCAGTTCCCCGTGTGAGGTCTCTAGCCGCCTCCCAACCTCATCCTGCAAGCAGAGCATGTGGCGTGGCCTCAACAGGGCCCTCGGCAGCCCTCGTGCCCTCAGGGGGGTGGCCTCCAGGAGCCCTGGCCTGCGTAGGACCAGCTCTCGCTCTACCCAGACTCCGCTGAAGACCTAGAGCAGCACTTATCTTTTTTTTTTTTTTCTTTTTAGAGAGGGAGTGGGGAAGGGGCGGAGGGAGAGGTAGAGAGAGATCTTTTTTGGGGGGGGAGGGGGAGAGAGAGAGAATCTTAAGCAGGCTCCATGCCCAGTGTGGAGCCCGATACGGGGCTCCATCTCAGGACCCCGAGATGACCTGAGCCAAAATCAAGAGTTGGACCCTTAACAGACTGAGCCACGCAGGCACTCCATCACTTGTCTCTTTTGCCAGAAGGCGAGTCATCCCTGCCCTATCTGCCATCCAGCATGAGCTAGTGCCCATGTGGACCCCTAGCCTGGTGCCTTACGTACAACAGGTGCTAACGGGGTGTGATGGATGGTTGGGGAGGCATGGGTGGTCAGTGGGTGGTGGGTGGGTGCTGCTGGCCAGACAGACCACTCTCAGCCACACTGGGGTTTCTTTTCCTAGATTCCCAATTTGGAGCTGCTCACACTGGTCTTGCTCTCCTGCCAACGGTGGGTTGGGGGGGCGTTGGAGTCAGCGGGGCTCACCTCCCCAGGGCTGCCCTCACCTTAGTCTCACAGAGGGCTGTGATCCGACCCTTCAGCACTGTCACCAGCGTAGAGAAGGTACTCTGGGAGCGAGGACTTGGGGACTCAGGGGCAGGGGGCTGGGGAGCGCCTGATGCCCCTACTGAGAAGTGGGCATCCTCATCATCCGAGTCTGAGTCTGGGGTGAGATCAAGGAGCCAAGTGGGAAGGAGACCTGGGAGGGCTGCCCCAGCCCTGCCCAGCTCTGGGGGCCTCAGGACCCCTGCTGGGGCATCCCTCCTACCCAGCTTGAAGGCTGACTTGCACATCTTGAAGTTGTCGTGCCAAAAGCCTGAGGGGCCTGGGAAACCAGCGGGGTGAGCGGCGGGGTCAGGGGTGGGAAGCAGGTCCGCAGGCTCCCACATGAGCAGGTCGTTGTTGATCCTGGGGCAGGTGGATGAGAGCAGCAGTGAGGGTGGCCCAGCCCAGCCCCTCCCCACGCGCCCCCTACCCACTTGAGTCACCACCTGTTATAGAGGCTCTCATAGACCTCCTTGCTGGGCAGGAAGATGTGGGCGCTGGGCAGGAGCACTTCCAGGCTGCAGCGCGACAGCACCAGGGCCCGGCTCTGGAAGGTCCTCATCTCCTCAGGGTCTCCAGGAATCACCATCTAGACAGGCGAGCGGGAAAGGCATCTGAGACGTCAGGGACTGCTTCTGGCTCGGCAATCAGACCCTAGTCTGCACCCTGACTTCCTATCATTCATTCATTCATTCTCATTCATTCATAGGAGCCCCTCTGCTGGGATGTGTGACAGCCAGCTCGTGCGAAGCGCTGACCACGTGCCAACCCTATTATGAGGGAGGACCTCAGGTGTGTCAACTCCTTTCTCCTCGTGATAAGCCTGTAACACAGGTCATTGTATCCACTTTCAAGATGAGGAAACTCATCTGCGTAGAGCTCTGAGATTAGACGAGTTCCAAGAGGACGAAGCCACTGAATGGAAGAGTCTGGATTCAAACCCAGATCTTTTGGCCCAGAGGCCAGGCCCTTAACTCTCTCTCACTCAAATCTCAGCACCTTCAGAGAAGAGGATCCTGAGGTCCAAACACACACTGTCAACAGACGGGGTTGTGATCTTCCCCATCAGGGACCTGTGCCTTCCAGGGCCTGCCCTCCCCAGTGTCCTCATGCCCAGGCCCCATGAGCTGGGGTGCTTTTGACTCCCCACTGGTCTAAGATGATGGAAGAGATGAAACTCTAGCTGGTGCCAGGTCACGTCAACTGGTGCCCCAGGTGGTCTTGTCCTCCTATCCCACAGCCACCAAGTGGCTCCCCTGGGTCCCAGGGGCCTCACCTCCTCCGTCTCGTACATGGTCCTTTTAGAGGAGAAGGGCGAGGGCTCAGGCTCCCGCAGCTCACACGGACTCTCAGCTGACAGCTCCAGCAGCTCTCCCTTCTCAGGGGCCACTTCCCACTGTGCGCTGCTGAGCTGGGGGCGCAGTGTCACCACTACCCTGCCAGGGCACAGGCCTGTCACTGACCTGCAAGGCCCCCTCAGCCCCGGACCCCACCTCGGGAGCCACCCTCAGCAGCCAAGCACTCTCCTGTCCATCCCTTCCGGAGCCCCCACTTACTGGGGCAGGAAGTATTTGCGCCCAGGGCTCTTGGGATCCAGGGCTTTGGAGACCCGCAGGCAGGGGATGGGTGGCTTCTCTCCATCTTCGTAAGTGCCTGGAAGGATGAGGAGGAGTGGGGGGCTGTCATTGCTGCCCTTCCCCATTTCTTCCCCAGTGGGAGGTGGGGTTAGTGGGGGCCTGGAACCTCCATCATGGTGACTGTCCTTTACTGTTTACAGGCCTGCGCCCTCCCTCACACCCACAATCTGCAGCAGGCCAGGGATAAAGGGTCGACTCTGCCCACTCTCAGACAAGCCTGGAGACAGGCCATGCTGGTGCGTCATGGAGCTGGTGAGGCTCGAGCCAGAGTCTGCCCGGACTGTGACTCAGTCCCTTCCATAGCCCCGGGCCCACCTCTCCCAGAGGTCTGAGGCCCTGCCCTGGGTACTGTCCCCTGGGGGGATCTCACCATGCAGATCGGAGCAGGTAAGTTCCAGGCGGGTGGGCACTGGGGGACCAGGACCGCTGTTCAACTCTGACCGGAACTGGGGCTCACTCAGCTCCAGCCGCAGCTGCTCGGCCCGCACAGCCCGGCCTGCCCAGGGGTCCCGCTCGGGCCTCAGGTCGGCAATGGGGAAGCGCAGCTGCAGCGTGGCCCGGGGTGCTGAGAGCCGCACCACCGTCTGCTGCTCGGCAGCTGGTGCGGGTTCTGTCTGCAGGAGGATGGGGGGCATCAGAGCTGCTGCCAGGGGCCCCGCCACTGTGGCTCTGAGCCAGAGGGTCCGTGCCAGCTCCCTGCCTCAGCTGGGTATCTCACCAGGAGGCTGGCAGGTGGCTCAGGAGGGGGTATGGTAGCCAGGCGCAGCAGGGCAGCAAGCCGGTCCAGGGCCCCCAGCTCCACATCTGCCTGGAAGTCAGCCAGGTCCAGGGCCAGTTCTGAGTGGCAATGGCAGGCAGCGGGGCGCCGGGGTCGGCTCTGAGGGCAAGGGTGTTCAGGTCAGCGAGGACTGTGGGGTAGGTGAGGGCAGGATGGGAAGGGACCCCCTTGAGCAAAAACAAAACACAGAGCCCTCCTGGGTGGTGGGAAGGAAAGCTTGAGCAGGGGACCTGGAGATCCTCACCACATTGCCTGAGAAAGATGACCATGTTTGTTTAATAAAAGCCACCGGTATCTGGAGACCCGCAGGGGTTTGCCAAGATGGGCCAGGGAAGGGGCAACCAGGCCAAGAGGATGCCTTATGTAGGGCCCAGCTGTCTTCAAGGGCTCCCAGATGGGGAGGTGTGCTCTAATTGAGCACGGGCAAAGGGGGTGGAGGGTGGGAGCAGGGAAGTCACTGCGGAGGCTGACAGGTGAGGAACAGCCAAGGGCCCTTAGGCATGGGGTGAAGTGGGTTACCTTGGACATCCGGCGGAGAGTCTGTGTGTGACGCAGGTGGGCACAGGGCCGAGCTGAGGCCTGGGAACCTAGGGTGCTGGGGAAGCTCAGGATCTGGGATGGGACACAGGCGGCAAGTCAGGCAGAGCCTCCACACCCACTGGAAGCTGCAGGCCTTGCCACATACTCGCTCTCGGCCCTCACCTCTGTGTACTCGGGCTCTGACGTGTCCCTGGGCCACAGGCACTCCAGCACCTCGAGCTGCCCGAAGTGCACGTGTGTGCTCGTAGTCCTTCGGCCCCTGCCTGTCCGCAGCTCCCAGGACAGCTGCACAGCTGTCCCCGTTAGCCTGCGGGGAAGAAGCTGGGCATCAGAGGTTGGGCTTGGGGGGCGGAGGGAGTCTCTCCTTGGGCCCCTGCCTTGGGCTTGTACCGGACATGGCTACAGGGACAGGCCCTCTGGAAGCGCGGTCGGAGATGGTGGAAGTCACGGGAGCCGAAGGGCCCATCCTTGGTGGCATCAAACTCCGCAAAAAAGTGGGTGGTGAGGTCAGGTGGTCCAGAAGATGGGGCAGACGTCTGCAGCAAGGTCAGGGTCATGCCCCCCAAGGTCATCTTCACCAGTGAGTCAGGGCGCAGGGTGTCCGGGAGGGGCGTGGGGGCCGTCTTGCCTGAGAGGATAGAGGTTTCACCAGGGACTTCCCAGAGCTCATGGGTACCCCAGGTAGAGGGATGGTCAGACACTGGGCTGCGGGCTGGGAGAAGCCCTGACCCAAATGGACTGTGACTCTGGCATGGGGCTTGGCCGGGCAGGGCTAACCCAGAGCCTCGTTATGCCAGATACTGAGTCTAGGCTCAATCCAAGCCTCTCAAGGAGCTGGAAGAAGTGGGTGATAAAGCACTCAGGCCAGCACCTGACATACGTAATCTCTCAATAAACATCGGCCAAAACATATAGCCTGCCAAGGTCAGATCTTAGTACACTCTTTTTACGGAAGGGGAAACTAAGTCTCCAAGAACTTAAGTGCTTGGCCCAAGATCACGGACTTTGAAACCTGGCCTCTATCCATTGTGTTACCAGCCTCCCCTGAGCATCCCCAGGGAACCAAGTAACCCACAGTGGACCGCTAAGCGTGGATGGGGGCCTCCTACACGTACATGACATCACATGGGCACTGAGGCCCTTTCCAGCTCCTCTTGCCCCAGGAGCACTCACCAGTTGGGTGGGCATGGGCAGACAGCCGGCGGGGGGCCATGTCGCTGTGCACAGAGGATCCCAGGTCTACATCCGAGAGGGAGAGCTCAGAGAGGGCTGAGGCCACACTGCTCGTGAGGCCCGCCATGGAGAAGAAGAGGTCTGTGGGCCAGGGCAGGAGAGGTCAGGGAAAGCCACACTTGGCGCCCGTGACTCCTACACCCTGGCTAGCTGCCTGGACAACTGCCAGGTCTGGCCCCACACCCACCAGTGTTGTCCAGGTTGACAAGAGGGTTGGTAAGGGGTTCTGGGCTGAGGGGCTCGGCCACAGCCCCTGCCTGCAGCTGCTGGTTCAGGTCCTGCTCAATCAGCCACAGGTCTTCAGCACCGAGCGGGCGGCTCTTATTCAGCTTGTCAACCAGGCCGTCAGGGTCTATGGAGGAGGACACTTCTTTGTGTTGGTCCAGCCTAGCTGGCCCCTCCCCAGCCATCCCATCCCCTGGAGGGCCCAGGGGCCTCACCTGCGAGGCTCATGGCACTGAGCAGTTCTTGAAGCTGCTGGAGCTGCTGAGGCGTCAGGAGCAGGTGCAAGGAGCCCAGCTGTCCAGCCACCTCCAGCTGGGGACAGAAGGGGCCAGAGGGGCCAACCATGGAGCCTACACTTGCCACCTCGGCCCTCTGAGAGCCACCGCCCACCTGCCCTCACCCAGAGGAGGGAGGATGCCAGTTGCCAGGCTAAGCTCCGTCACCACTAGGGAGCCGTGTGACGCTGGCCACAACTTGACCACCAAGCCTGCTTCTCTATCCAAGAAGGCAGTAATTTCTCCCACTCAATGACCCTGCTTTGTACAGGGCAAGATCAGCACTGCTGAGGAGTATTCTGAAATGGGCCACACTCCCTCCTCCACAGGGGCTGGGGACCCACCTTGGGGCCTGGGAAGGCCTCATTCTGCTTCAATTTCACTGTCAATTCCATATACCCTGAGCAGCTGCCGATCTGCAAGGGGGGTTGTGGGGGATCTTCCTGGAGGCAAAAGGCGATAGGAGGGAAGGGGTCGAGAAGATGAGGTCAGAGATGGTCAGAAGGGATGGGGCGCAGCGGGGCAGATAGAAGACGGGGATTAGAAGGGAAGAAACTGTGGGGATCAGAGCCAGCCCACCTGTGGGGGGAGCTCCTCGAAGTGCAGGCGGACTCCTGCTAGCTGCAGCAGCTTGTGCAGAAAGGCAGGAGGCTGGTGCACGTCCACTGGAGGCGCCTGGCTTGGGTCCCGCACTGCCTCATCACAGTACTCCAGTCTGCCGAGTGCAGGATCAGCCCTCGCCCCAGCCACCCCAGGCTGGAGCCCTTCTCCCCACACAGTACTCTGTTCTAGGGGCCTGGGGCCAGAGAGTTTGGCCAGCAGAGCTGCCCCCTCATAGCCAGGCCATCCTGGACCTCCATGGCCAGCCCTTGCCCTTCAAACCCTCAGTGTGTAACTTGATCCTTGGGGTCCCAGCCACCTTGGGCCTGTACCGCTTGGCCCCTGGACACCACTCCAGGCTCACAATATGGTCTCCCTCCCACCACAGCCACCACCCAGGCCCACCCAAGACTTGCCCTGCTACTTTCCTGGAGCCCAAGCTGGGGTTAGGGGCAGGGCCAACACCATTCAGCGGCCCCTCACTCCCCCTCATCTGCACCTCAGCCCACCCCGCTAGGCATACCCCTACCTCTGTACATGGACTTCCACTGCCACGCCATGCTCCCCATCACCTGGCGAGTGCTCCACCCTCACGACAGTGTCCAGGAAGGTCACCTTGATCCTTCGCAGCACTGAGGGGTGGAAAGGGGTCTCAGGCCAGGTGGAACAGCAAAGGGGCAGGCAGAATTTCCCTGCTGGGGCAGCAGTGTGGCCATCCTGCTGTCTGGGGCCCCTGTCTTGTGGGCTATGGAGGGGCGGGCAGCAGGGTAGCAATGAGAGGCCTACTTACCAGTCTCAATGGTCTGGGCAAACATTTCCAGTCCCTCCAGGGGCTGTGGTGCCTCCGAGGGCTCGGGCAGCCCGTCCCGAAGGCACTCCTGAGCCAGCTGCAGGCTCGTGGTCATGCATGAGGCCCAACTCTGAGAGTCGGCAGCCCCTGGCCCTGTGAGTAGGAAGAGGGTCTCAGGAGAGGCAGGCCTAGTCAGCTCCTGGGTGCCCAGGCCTATTCCTTACCACTTGCTCCCCACCACCCCCCAACCCCAGTCTTGCCCTGCCCTCACCTGGGCCCCGACGAGGCTGCAGGGTGAGCTGGAGGCCTGACACGTGCACGGTGCAGTGGTCAGTGAGCAGCGCAGCCCAGGGCACGGCCACCTTGATAGAGCCCACGAAGCCTTCCACCAGCTCTAAGGGTGATTCTATGGACTCCAGCACTTCGTTCACAGACTGGGAGCAGGGAAGGGACAAAGCTGGCTCAAGGAAACCCCAAATGTGGCTGTCTCCTTGGCTGCCACACTCCTTGTTAGTCTGCTCTGACCTTGGAGAGCTCCCTTGTTCTCCCCGCCCCCAACCGTGTGCTACTACAGAGTTCTACCCTTGCTTTAGCTGATTTCTACTCTTGGCCCATCCAAACATCTTTCATCCTTTAAGCCAGAGGAGGGGGTGCTGAAGCATGAAAAGGAGGAAGCCAGGGGCGCCTGGGTGGCTCAGTCGTTAAGCGTCTGCCTTCGGCTCAGGTCATTATCTGGGGGTCCTGGGATCGAGCCCCACATTGGGCTCCCTGCTCAGCGGAGAGCCTGCTTCCCTCTCTCCCTCTGCCTGCCGCTCTGTCTACTTGTGGTCTCTATCTCTCTGTCAAATAAATAAAATCTTTAAAAAAAAAAAAAAAGGGGCACCAGGGTGGCTCAGTTGTTAAGCGTCTGCCTTCGGCTCAGGTCATGATCCCAGGGTCCTGGGATGGAGCCCCGCATCGGGCTCCCTGCTCAGTGGGAAGCCTGCTTCTCCCTCTCCCACTCCCCCTGCTTGTGTTCCCTCTCACTGTCTCCCTCTCTGTCAAATAAATAAAATCTTAAAAAAAAAAAAAAAAAGGAGGAAGCCAGGCAGAGAGGACGGAAGGTGGCATGATCAAGGCATGGGAACAGCATGTGGAAAGGCCCAGCAGAGTGCACCCATGGTTCTCTCTGGGCAAGTATGGAGTTCAAGGGGAGTATGCTGGAGAGGCTATCAGAGGACCGAACTGAGCCAGAGGGGGACCCCCCCAACTCCAAACATTTGGTGTAGCTGTACCTCTTTGAGGTACAAGGCTGAGAGCCCCTGGTTACGACTGGGGAAAGAGCACCACCACCATCTGGGAGCTAGGCAGGAACCCACCTGCCTGCTCCGTGTGATCCCAGGTGCTGTGTGGTACCACCCAGAGAAGTTCCCAGTAAACACTTGTTGGATCCAAGAATAAACAAACACATGGCAAAACTAGAAGGCTTATGGAGGTCAAGTTGAAACTCCTTACCCAGACATCCACAGATAGGAAACTGAGGCCTAGAGAGAAGGAACTAGTTTAATCACTCAGTGTAGTGTGAGGACTACAACTGGGAGACAGGCCTCTCTCCTCACCCCATCCCAGGCACTCAGCTTCTTCTGGGGTCTTCAAGGCGGGGGCTGCAGGCTGAGTGGGTGGGAGGAGGGGCTGGCTATGAAAGCACCTGCTTTTCACCAGGGGATAACTTCTCCCTGGAGGCCAGCCCAGAAAGCAGCATAGCTAGGAGCCATTTCAATCCCCACCAAGAGGGCAGGGCAGGGCAGGGCAGGGCAGGGCAAGGCAGGGCAAGGCAGGGCAGGGTGGGAGTGTTTTCTGGGACTGGAAATAGAAAGCAGCAGCCTAGAGGTCTTGGCCATTTCTTTCAGGCCAGTCTAAAAGTCAGAGGTCACAAAAGGCCTCCACTAGGATTCATAAACAAGAGGTTATCGGGAGGTGTCCCCACCTCTGGGCTTGGATGTCTCCCTCTGCCTCTACATTTGCTCAGGACGTCCTGGCCTACCCCTAAAGCTCAGCTCTTCCTGCCCCAGATTTCGTCTGCTCAGCCAGAAAATTGAGAAGCCCCTGACCCCATGCCCACCCCTGCTGCTCTGAAGTGGGGGGTTGACCCCCGTGCCAGTCCTGGCCTGATGCCTCTAACTGATGGCTCCTTTGCAGCTTCCCAGTTCAGATGAGTTGAGTCACTGCCCCTCACCACCCCCAGCCTCAGGCTTCTGACCCAGACCTATTCCTTCCTGCCTCCCCAGCATCTCCCCTGGCCTCCTCCCTGTCTGAAGCCAAACCTCTCCACCTTTCCTCAGGGGCTTGCCGGCAGGTAGGGAGGCCCATTCCCAAGCCCCTCCCCAAACACCACTGGGTCCATCCCACTCTCCCCAAAGCAGGAAGTAGGCAGCCGAGGCAGTCACACGAGGTGTTGATCAACACGGGTGCTGACGCGGTTGTTGACATCCCGGTCCTGAGGCGAACCCCACCCACTTGGCCCCGGATCCGAGGGTCAGGAGGTCAGAGCACCTTTCCCACAGGTGCTCTCAGCAGGACTCGGGACCCCTACACCAGCCTTGCCTCACCAGCTAGCTGCAAGGCTCCAACTCTGTCACTGCCCCGGACGGGTTCTGTCAGAGGCCCCTAGTTCCTTCGCTCCCTCGTCACCTTCTCCTCAGCTCCTCAGGACCACGCTTCTCAACTCGGGCCCCAAACTCGATGTGCTTACTCTGGCATTCTCCAGACAAGTGACACCCCCTTCCTCAGCCTCAGTTTCTCCTCCTGGGAAGTGGAGGCAGGAACCCCCTTCCCACCCAGCTTCTGGCTCCGAAGCCGATCAGTCGCCTGGAAAGGGCCTCACTCCACAGCCTCTTCACGCCCTCTGCCCGGTCCCCCAGCCAGGATCCTCGGGTCTCTGCGCACCGCTCCCCCGCTTCCCGATCTCGGGCCTCGTTCCTCACCCAGATCTCCAGGTGGATATCCCGCAGGGCAACACTGCCCTTGTACAAGTCGAGGCTGAGCTGATCCAGGCTGAGGTGCTCCTGGAAGAAGTGACCCAAGTAGTGGTGCAGCAAGTAGCGGCATACCCGCTCTTTCACACAGTTCGACCATGGCCACAGCCATCGTGACATCTCGGAGACCGCCGGGCCCAGGCCGCCGCCGCTCGCCGCCCGCCGGCGATCCCTGTCCGGCTTCGCCGTTCACTAGAGCCCCCGGCTGTCCCCGCCGCTTCTCTCAGCGCCAGGCCGCGCCCCCGGGCCCTCAGCCACGCCCCCCACGCTCACTGCCATTCGCCATTGTAAAGGGCGAGGCCTACTGATTGGCCGCGGGGGGCGGAGTCTTCGAGCACGAAAAAGGGACGGGGCTCTCTGCATGATATAGTGCTCCCAATCTCGATTTACGCCTGCGTAAAAATTCTGTGTGGGAGGACCTTTAGCCTTCCTTCTACGGGCTCTGGGAAGGCTGGGGCTTGAGGTGCCAGCCCCGCGGAGGAATGCGCATGCGCCGACTGGTCCACCTCCTTGAGGTAGTTGGGGAGAATTTAAAGGGACAAAGTCCCATCAAACTTAATAGGAAGCTTCCCAGAGGCGTAAGAGTCTGTGTGAGAGCTCCAGCACGCGTCGTAGAAACAATTAAGTGAGTAAGCATTTGCATTTTACAAAACGCTTTACCGTCTTTTATCTCATTCAACTCTTATAATCCTCCAAGGTGTCGATTTTACAGATAAGAAAACCATCTTACAAATAAGAAAGCAAATTTGTAAAGGTTGCTGTAAGTCCATCACCAAGGAAATCTTTTTTCACCACTCCTCACCTGGAATGCTGATCAGGAGATTTACCCACCCTCCCTTCTCTCTGCATTTGGTCAGGCCTCCAGCTCCTCTGAAAAAAACGATGGTTTTTCTTATCTCTAACCTAAAATTAATAACGAAAGGATTTTAAATCCCTTGAGCAGGGGTCTATTGTTTTGGTACAATTTTTATTTGTTTTTTTTTTTTTTTTTACATTTTTAAGTAGTTGGAAAAAATCCAAAAAATAAGATTTCATGACACATGAAAATGTCATAAAATTCACATGTGAGTATCCATAAAGTTTTAGTGGAACACAGGCACACTCACTTGATTAAGTACTGTCTGGGGCTGCTTTCTTGCTACAGCAGTAGAGTTGAGCACTTGGCGCAAGGTGGGGGGGTAACTGCAAAGCCTCAAATAATTGTTTTCTGGCCATTTACAGAAAGTTTGCCAACTCCTGCTCAACAGGGTTGGTCACCCAAGCCCTCTTACATCATGGGTGACTTAAAGGATACTCAAAGGTAATTATAATCCTATTTTAGCCTTACAAGGGAGGGGGACTCTACTGCAATCTAATGCTAAAAGTAAGCCTGAAGCAAGGGCAAACACCCTGGCCTGAGGGGCAGGGACCTGGAGTCCAGTCCTGTGTGGCCTAAGGCAAGTCACTGTCCTCCAGGAGCCTGTTCTATCCCCTGTAACCTGGGGTTGGGTTAGTAGGTGGTATAGCTCATTTACTTGGAAGGGACTAAGGAACAGCCTCAAAGAGAATTTGGGGAAGCCCTGGGAAGTTTCCATTCAAGGAGGCAGGCTAACTGGGAAATGCTTGTGGAACGAATCAAAAGATCAGTCTTTCCCCATGACAGGCTAGGGGCAGTGTTGTGTTCATCACATGTTTATTAAATTAATAATAATTAAAGTGATAGACACCATGAATTGAGCCTTGTGATGTCCTGGGCCATGGGCTTGTCACTTTATAGGCATTACTTCATCTGCTCTTCACCACACCCTTGGAGGGAGGTACTATTAATATCCCCATTTTACAGGAGAGGAAAACTGAGGCTCTGTGTCTAAGAGCCTATGGAGCAAGTGAATGAACAAACATCACTTCTCCCAAAGGCAGTGGGGACTGGAAGGGTGTATTCTGGAGTCTAGGGAAAGTTGTCCTGATGTCCAGACTAAGAGAGGGGGTCATTCCCCTGCTGTGAGAATGGGGTGCATCATGTACAAAGCTTGGGAACACAGAGCCATTCCCAGTGTCCAGGCCCCCAATCTGGGTGGCTGCTTCTTGGGCCAGCTTCCCTCCAGTGAGGCTGTACTCACATCTGTGACATAGAGCAGTGTCTGCACCACAACAGGAATAAACAGGACTCAGAGGGGCACAAAAGTCTTTCCTGCTGCCTCCCCCAGTGTACCATGAGATCCACAGAAGACCAACTCCAAAGACCTAGTCCTTCCACAACCTGGCCCGGGCCTTGGAGCAGGAGCTGAATGGGAGAATAAAAAATACGGAGTAAAGAGAATGGTATGTTCTCGGGAGGGAAGGTGGTGTGGGGGCCCCTCATATATTTCTGGGATGAAGACCCAGGCCATGGTTCCTCTCTATAGAGATAAAAGGGGGGAGGGTCAGGCTTTGTGGGGCCCCTTGGGGGGCCTCTCCATATTAGATTAGGTAGAAACTCAATAGGCAACCCAGGCGCTGTAGGCCTCAAGGGCCTTGGGGGGAGGCTCTCCCTTTCCCGGGGATGGTCCACCCAGAAGAAGCCCCTCAGGGAATTCCCTCAGTGGCCTTTGGATAGGTGTGGAAGGGATCATGGAAGGTAGCCTAGGGGCTGTGGCTTTTGACTTGATCCATGGTGGAGGGCCTGGATTTTGCATTTTGTCTAAATTGTGGTAAATTACACATAACAAATTTTACCATCTTAACCATTTCTACATGTACAATTCAGTAGTGTTAGAGATACTCACATTTTTGTGCAACCAATATCCAGAACTTTTTCATCTTGGAAAACCGAAACTCTGTACTCATTAAATGACAATGCCAAAATGGGTGAACTGTATAGTATATGAATGGTATCTCAATAATGATGATTTTTAAAAAGAATTTTTACCCAATAGCCCCCAGGTGACACTGTATCTATTTTGAGACCCAGTTCAAATGCCACTGCTTATAGGAAGTCTTACGTCTTCCACCATTCAGGCCCCCAAATCCTCAAATGGAGCACACCCTTTCTATAAAACATGAACCCTTCACACCCTCATTCTGGCCTGGAGACCCTCAGAGTTCAGGGCACTAGCCTCCAGGGAGCCTAGCGTGGGAGGCTGGAGCTGGTGCCCTCCTGACTCAGGCTGGGAGATCTGTGGTCCTAGCTTTGCGACCTTGGGCAAAGCACTTCTCTTCTCTGGGCCTGGGGGTTCTCACCTGGCTGGAGAAGGCTCTGTGGGCCTGCTGTCTCCCAGCTTTTTCTGCAGGGATATGGGACGGGCTTCACTTTCTGAGCCTGGGAGGTAGGCAAGGAGAAAATTGTGGGTTTTCATTTGACAGATAAGGACACCAAGGGCAAGGTGGACAAGGCCGGCTGAAGATTACCAAGCAGGGGGGCTTCTGGCCAGCTCCTCAGTCGTAGAGCCCTTACGCCCACCTGGCTAAACTATGGCCTTTGCTTTCTGTTGCTCCAGCAGGTGGGCACCTCTCAGGGAAGATGGCTGGGTGGTCACCAAGGCTTAAGGCAGGGTTAAGAAGACTCTGAAAATGGCCCCAGTCCCCTTCCTGACCTCAGTGTCCAAGTCTCATTGCCCGTTCCCGCTGCTTACATGAACCAGTTAGTTGTTCATCCAGGCAAAACTTCTGGGTGGAGATTTCACAGTGAAGTGTAGGGGATGGAGTTAAGAGATATAAAGGGTGTTGGGGTCCAGGGTCCTAAGAAGGAGGCCCAAGACTGTAGGCCAGGAACTTTTGTCCAGAATGCCAAACTCCTGGAATCCCACCTGTACCTTGGATGCCCTGCAGTAGAATTTTGAACAAGAGACCCCACTATCACATCTTAGGGCCTAGAGGGGCTAAGGGAGGTCTGTCCAGGGAGGCCAGCTTGCCTGGGGCGGGATGGCACCCCAGGGAACACCCACTGCTCGGATGCTTTGCCATTCCAAGCTGGCCCTTTAAGCCCTACACCATGATGTCACCATAGACAGCAAGGGATGGGAGGGGGACTGCAGGCCTGAGGGCGGACTGCATTTCCCAGCAGTCTTGGGTGCACCACACCTCTCCCAGCAGGCACTGGTTCACTGCAGACTATTAACCAGTTCAGTGCCCGTTTCCAAGTGGGTTTGAAGTGTGCGGCCATTCTGGGGTGAGGGTGGGATTCCCCCGCGGGTGGAATGCCTGGGGCACGGATGAAGCAGGCCAAATCTTTGGGCCTAGTATAGGATTGGGCCTCTTTCCTGTCACGGTCCTGGCCTCACCCCCAGCTTCCTGGTGCAGACTCCCGAGTCCTCTCTTCCGATGCAGTCTCCTTTCTAGAACGTGGGAGCCTAGCCCCAGGTGGACCCCATCCCACTCTGCTTAAGCTTTGACCCCAGGCCCCTGCAGGGGTTACCCCTTCGGTCTGGCATCCCCCTTTAAGCAGTGCGGGGACTACATCTCCCAGTGGCCCTGGGAACTTTCTGACGCAGCACCCCCCTCCACCCCCCCAGCCCTCGGGGAGGTGCGGGCCGGGCGGGGGGAGGTGACTTGATGTCATCCTGAGCAGCTGGGCGGCGGGTGCCGGTGCGCACAGAGCCGGGGCTCCCGCAGCGCAACGCCGCGCTGGGTCGGGTCCCAAGACTTGAGGAGAGGTCTGCACGCTGCCGGGGTAGCCCAGAGCGCACCGGACGCCCGCACCCGACCTGGGGCTGAGCTGGGGGCATGCTCCGGCTCTCCCGGAGCCCGAGAGAGAACCCAGGAGCGCCGCCACCCAGAGCCAGCGCCCGGAGCGGAACCGCTGCGAAGGAGACCTGAACAGCGGCCCCTTCCCCACCCGCAGCCCCGGGTGGTTGGGGACGGAAGTCTGGGCTTCTGAGAAGTGAGTGTTCCCCCCCGCCACGAGGCAGATGAGATTTGGGGGGCGAGGAAGGAGGAGCTGAGGTGGAGAAGGTTGCCAGATTTTAGGAGGGAGGGGTGGTGTGGGGATAGGGCCCCCATTCTTGGGGAAGTCGCTGGTGGCCTGGATTAGTGGAGCAGAAGGGGGCCCCATTCTTTTAGGGGCCAGGGCTTGGGATGGGGTTCCCCATTCTAGGTAGGGGCTGGTTCGGGGATAGGCCCTATCCCAAGAGGGGTTGTTTTGGAGCCTGGGATCTTAAGGTCTGGGAGAAGGGTGGGACATGCTCCTGTGAGAAGGGACTGCACCTGTATTTAGGATCTGGGAGGGAAAAGAAGACTTGAGCACTCGGACTTGGGCAGCCCCACACACTGTCTTTCCTGGAAGAACTGACAGGCTCTCTCTGTTTCTTTTGCTGGTCTCTCTGCCCTGACTACATTTTCAAAAGAGCCAGGGTGAGAACCCTGACTGGACTCTTCGGGACCCCCAG